ACAGTTGTAAGACACATATAAAGAGGAGACATCTTGGATGATCCCAGATTTCTATCTTGGGTGACCTGCTCAATACTGTCAGTACAAACTTGTCATGATACGGAATACAGATGGAATAACAGATTTGTGTTCTGTTTTGTTTCTTCCAGGAATGTTGTGTGTCCCATGGCTTTTTGTGATTCTGGTAGCTATTAATTGTTCTACTAGGAGTCGTTTAATTGGCAGTTGAATGTTTGGGTTTAGAGTTTGAGACAGAGGCCTGAACCAAAAAGATGTAGTACTTGACCACGTATTGGTGGAATTGAAAGCTTAGGTGTAAAGCTCCCAAAATATCCATCCAAAAGAATAAATGCTTAAATTTATTAGGCTTAAGAGGAAAAAAGATTTGGGAGTGTAGATGTGTTGTAAAATTTGTTTTACTTTTGATTCTGCTTTTTAATTTCCATGGTTTTTATGGAGAAGCATGCTTGGCTCTGGTTTGTAAGTCTCATTATAGTCTGGCAGTGTAAAATTTCCCAAATTATTTCTTTTAAAATTACAGCTGAATAGCCTGTATTTCTTAGGGAGAGAGCTAAAAAGGTACTTTTCCTGTTTAAGAATATAGGTTGCATTGTGTGGTAGAGAATTTGAATGAACTTTAGAGTCAAACTTTGGTTGGAATCTTGGTTCTCATAATACTTAACAGTGTGCCTCTAAGCAAATTATTTAGGTTCACTAAGATTTATTTTCAGTTCAGTTCAGTTTATTCGCTCAGTCGTGTCCGACTCTTTGCCACCCCATGAATCGCAGCACGCCAGGCCTCCCTGTCCATCACAGACTCCCGGAGTTTACTCAAACTCATGCCCATCGAGTCAGTGATGCCATCCAGCCATCTCATCCTCTGTCGTCCCCTTCTCCTCCTGCCCCCAATCCCTCCCAGCATCAGGGTCTTTTCCAACGAGTCAGCTCTTCGCATGAGGTGGCCAAAGTATTGGAGTTTCAGCTTCAGCATCAGTCCTTTCAATGATTTTACTCATTTGTAAAACTGGGGAAGTCATTGCTATCTTTAAGATTTAATGATATGAGCTTTTGGATCTGGAGAATAATAGAAGGTATCCAAATGTTAATCTCTACACATTTTCCCGAAAAGCCACATACATTTAAACCATTCATAGGTGACACATCCAACATTACTACAGGATGGACAATACCGTAAATTTTAAGTTAGCTCTAAGTAAAGAAACAGCAAGTTACAACAGCTCTTGTTACTGCTATAAACCTCTGAATCTGGAGAGTGGGGCAAGGAGAGGCTTAGTTCAGTTCAATCTCTCTGTCATGTCCATCTTTTGCATTTGCTGCATTGGCAAGTAGATTCTTTACCACTAGCGCCATCTGGGAAGCCCCAGTATAAAATTAAAGCCATGTATATATAGACATACCAAACATTATCAGTTCAGTTCAGTCGCTCAGTCGTGTCTGACTCTTTGTGGCCCCATGGACTGCAGCACGCCAGGTTTCCCTGTCTATCACCAACTCCCGGAGCTTGCTCAAACTCACGTCCATCGAGTCAGTGATGCCATCCAACCATCTCATCCTCTGTCATCCCCTTCTCCTGTCTTCAGTCTTTCCCAGCATCAGGGTCTTTTCCAATGAGTCAGTTCTTTTCATCAGGTAGTGAAAGTATTGGAGTTTCAGCTTCAGCATCAGTCCTTCCAATGAATGTTCAGGACTGATTTCCTTCAGGATGGACTGGTTTGATCTCCTTGCAGTCCAAGGGACTCTCAAGAGTCTTCTCCAACACCACAGTTCAAAAGCATCAATTCTTTGGCATTCAGCTTTCTTTACAGTCCAACTCTTACTTCCATACATGACTACTGGAAAAACCATAATTTTGACTATACAGACCTTTGTTGGCAAAGTCTCTGCTTTTTAAGAGACATTGAGAGAAGAGAGAAGATCAGAGGTTAAAATGAAGCAGAAAACCACTCACAGAAAGAAAATGTCCCCCATACAACAAGCAAAATATGGCCACAGACTTGAGTCTTGGTAATTAATAACACTAACTGTAGGGAGGGTGTGTGAAAGAGAGGGGCAGAAATAGCAGCATCAGAGAAACATTGCTGGTGGGAGAGGAGAAAAGGATACTGCTCTTTGGAGCCGTGACAATGAGAGCAAGAAGTAAGGAGAAAATGAAGGGTCCTGGAGAAATGAAAGAAAAGCAAGAAACACCAGTCCAGTCTTCACTCACCACTACCACCCCTACCACCACTATAGGAGCTGCTCTTAATAATATGCAGCAGCAGACACTCTGAAACTAGAAGTCTGTCCCTAAAATACTCATGAACAGAAATAAATGCCATACAAAGCTACTGCAAGAGGAATGCAGAAAATGTGAATTAGTACATTTCCACTGATTATAGTTCTTCCCCAAAAAGCAAACACAAAACAAGAGAAACTGTATTGTAACACTCCAACCAAATATTCTGAAATTTACGGGCATACTAATAGGGACATTGATGAAAGTAATGTTGATGTAAAGAGGCACTGATAAAGGAAAACAACCAAAAGAATGAAAATGAGATGAGAGAAGTGAAAAGCTTCAGAGAGAAAGTGGTTAAAATACAATATAGGCAAAGGAAGCCCCAACGTTGTTGTATTTATAACTGGATTGACTGCAGAAGAAATCAGTGGAACAGAACTAATTATTAAACCATAGTCCAAGGAAGCTTTTAAGAAATAAGAGGAAAACTGAAATTTATAAATTAAAAGGACCCACCTTGGCAGATAGAGCCAGAACAATGAACTCTGAGACATAGACTGTTAGATTTTAGAGACTAGAAGAACTATTTTAGATTTTGAAGGTAAATTTTTTTCTGGACCCTTGGTGGGGGGAAAAAAATCACATTAATTAGATTTGAATCTGACTTCTCTATAAATGATACACAAAGGAAGGCTGCAGTAAAACAGCATTTTTTAAAACTCAAGGAAGCACAGTTCAAGCTTGCCAACCTGTCCTTCAAGTATCAAGGCTATAGAAAAACAATGAGAATTTAATAGATTATAGATTCAATACTAAAACAGTGGTGGGGATATGGGCACAATTGTTATGTGTAACTGAGTCAGGAGACAAAGGAAAAATAGAATAAGATCATTCCCTATTATAAATAGTAAGTGGGAATTTTGGATACCATTTAAAATGGACAGACCGCATAGTAAAAGTTTAAGTAAACAAAAAAGAGATTTAGGATCCTCTAAAATACATAAATACAAGAACGTGTGAAAGTCACCACTAGAACCAAAAATGCAAATATTCCTAAATACCAAAGGAAGACTTTTTTGAAAAGCAAAATCATCAACTGGAGAAAGAGTGGGAATAATAAAAACAGTGATTATAGAAGAGTATTTCAAACATACCAGTTACTTCAATAAGCATAAGTGGGCTTAACTCACATGTCAAAAGAAAAACACATCTAAAAGAGTGAAAAAGGTTAAAAATAAAGAGATGTGCAAAAACATCACAGGAATATGGAAACAATAAGAAAGCAGTTGTAATCTTGATAGACAAAGTAGAATCTAGGGGGGAAAAAAACATCAAACACAGTAGTGTGCTTTATGTTAAAACCCCATAATTCTCAAAAAAAAACAAAACAAAACCCCATAATTCTCAATGAACTTATATTTTTGAATATCCACCAAATATAGCAAACACCTGACTATCGAAGAATTGCTACAGCAGAATAAAGGATAATGCAAGAAAAAATAGAAACACATAATAGATTTTAAATTCATCAGTACAAATCTGGTATAAGTGATTCAGGATCTAGTAAATTTTCTGTTTCAAAGTAGGAATTGGCCATTGGTTTCTTTTAATGGGAATGGGAAATGATATTTAGAGATCACGATCTTTATATCAGGATTGCTCACTTACACAGGGTTGGTCTTTCTTTCTAGGTCTTTTCAGTACACAAAGCTTAGGCTATCTTTTTTTTTTTTAAGAGAAAAGATACATCGTTATTTCATGCTGACATTTTTAGTTGAAATTTAAAATAACAGGTTTATTTCTTTCACTTTTATATTTGTATCTCTTTTTACTTGTGCTAAAAAATCTTAGTTTCTAATGATATTAATGAAATTAATTATTCATCTTAATACCTGCACTTAGAAATTAACAATACCAATATTATTACAATCATTAGCAATTAGTATAGCTACTGCAAAAGGTTTAAGATGTATTTTCAGTTCCTTTTGTCCATAAGGTATATCCTAGTATATATATACAAATTACTGTGTTTTGAATCCACCTGAAGTAATTTCTCTATGTGTAGTTAAACCACCAACTCTTTTTATTTTTAGGCTTTTGTTGTTTTGCTTTGCTTTATGGGTTTTTTTTTTAATTTTAAAGAATTCAGGATAACTTAGATGACAGTTGTGGTTTATAAATAGCAACTAAAAGTGTTAAATTTTGGAGATAGTGTTTAATCAAAAAGCGTTCAATTTTTCAAAAAAAATTTTCTCAATTTTTTCCTGAAATGGATGAGGAATTTACTGTAATTAAAAGTTTTACTTGTTTCTGTATACTCACTGGGAGCCCTTGATTTCCAACGCAGCCCTAAAGAATGTACCACACTACTACAATACACTCTTTCTAAACTATTTGTGGGAATTTATCTCAGTGTTTTCTAAGACATTCAAATTATCACTTGAGTCCTTGCATGAAGTTTGTCAACCGCTTAGCCTACTGATTTGGTTACTTGGGGCCTCAGTTATGTAGATAACTTCTCCTCTCCCTTTCTAATGTCAGGTAACTTTTATGTGTAATATTTAATACAAATAAAATTATATGTTGTAACAAAATTATATACTGTGGCTTGAAATCTGAAATGTAAAACTTTAAATTATTCTATTGGGTCACAAAAGTCTGTTTTTGCCATAGCAGTAGCAGAATATAAACTTGTAGTTAGTATGTCACTTCTTAGGAGATTGGATCATAAAACATATAATTCTGTGGTTTCTCTTTTCAGAGTCTGATAAAATACCAGTAATGCGTGGACAGTGGTTTATTGATGGTACCTGGCAGCCACTGGAAGAAGAAGAAAGTAATTTAATTGAACAAGAACACCTTAGCCGTTTTAGAGGTCAGCAGATGCAGGAAAGTTTTGATATTGAAGTGTCTAAACCCATAGATGGAAAAGATGGTAAGACCAATTAATACATTTAATATGTTTTATATAATATATAAGTTATTGATAAAGCTTAGAGTGGCTGCTAAGTTTGAAATAGTAATTCAGAAGTGTTAAAATTTACATGATTTCTGATTATTTCAAACATTGGATTGTTATTTTAGAACTTAAAAATTGCTATAAATTTCTGAACTATTTCCATTTTTATTTTACTTAACATATACTTTCACTGATATGACACTAACATGATTTACCATAAATGTACAATATGTTGTAATATGCTTTATGAATTAGTCCTTTTGAGTAGCTTTTTAGTTATCAAAGAAAATTGAACTTATAAAAAAAAATCCCTTGTTATTCTACTGAAAGAGTAGTTTTGCTAATATTTTAATGTTGGTTCTCCTGAAGTTTAAAAAGGCTTTAATTTCCTTTGTGTAAGTCCTGTCTAACTGTCTTGATATTGATAACCGTATCAATTTTTAATTTGAAACAATCTACTCCTTATATTTCCTTATTCGGCATTTCGATTTTTTTTTTCTGGCAATAGTTTAAAATACTTACATACTAGCCAAGATTATCATGTTTCACTATGTGCCTGATCTTGAGTAAAATTCAAAATGTGTGGTCAAGTTAAAAATACTTCTATTGTTCATTTACTGCAGGCAGTGGGATCAACTATTCTGGTGAGTATAACAGTATAGGTAGATTAGAATTTATAGATTTCTCTTTTTTTCCTAAAAGTGTTTCTTCATCCATGTTTGCCTTTGTTTGGGAAGTTTCTTGGCAAGCCCTACTTAAGCGAGTGAATTAGACTATGAACTAGTCGTTCGTCTCCCTCCCCTTGTAAAACATCTATAAAGCAGAAAACTTCAATTATTGATCAAGTAATTCACAGAATGCAGCTTGGAAGAAATGAATTATGTAGTTGGAAGTTATTGTTTATATAACATCAGTTCAGTTCAGTCACTCAGTCATGTCCAACTCTTTGTCACCCCATGGACTGCAGCACACCAGGCTTCCCTGTCTTTCACCATCTCCCAGAGTTTGCTCAAACTCATGTCCATTAACAATAAACTTAAAATTGGGTGTTTTTATATCTTTAAAACTCTACATAACTGAGGAAAATGGTGGCTTCTAAGTAAATCGGTAATTAAATCTAAGAAATGTCTATTATATGCCAGATCCATACTCCAGGAATTTTAAGCATTTCATTTTCCTAATCCCTAGAGTCAAATATGTTCTTATTCCACTGTAAAATTCAAGCTCAAGGTTCTTAAATATCAGTATATAAGAACAGCTCAGTGTCTGTAAGGCAGAGCTGTGTCTACATTCCTGAAGACTGCCACAAAGACAATACTTTGATTAAAGCACAAATAACAAATTTTGTATATGTCCGACCTTTTGTTGGTGGCTGACATGTTTTGGAACGTCTCATCACACTCTAAATGATCACAAAAGCCTACTTCATAGTATTTGAAAAGCTGAACTCTTTTCATAACTTCGTATCTATTGGGAAAGACTGAATTCTAGATTTTTTCCTTTCTATTAATTCTCCTTAAGTCTTCTCTCAAAAATGGCAATTCACCTTAACAAACCCAGTTTATCCTCCCAGATTCTTTACTATTAATGCATGGAAAAAACCCAAGAGCTTCAAGGGGGAAAAGGATGAGTATGAAAAATAAAAATGAGTATATTGTCCCCCTTTCTCATACTACATTCAAAGCATTTCTTTTCCACTTGCTAATTTGCCCTGTGGAAGTTAGTTATTAGCTCTGTTTCATCTCTAGATCCCATCTACTTGGAATCTGAAATGTTAAATGGAGCAGCATACTCAAATTTTCTTCAAAGTTCTCTAATTTTATGAGCCAGTCATTTAAATAAGTCTGATAAAAGAACATGGTTTATTTGTATGAGAAAATTTTTCAGCATGTCTTTGAGCTTGTCAATCTAGGATATTACTGTATTTTTTGATAGCTTTAAAGATACAGATTGGGTGGTAAAATTCTAATTGGTAGTAATAGAAAATTGTGAAAGTATAGAACACGTTTGTATTGTAATCTTTCAAATTAATGATCTTTTGAGGTTCTTTAGAAAAATTGATTTTTTAAATATACTGTGACATAAAACATCAGGATGTTTTATTATCAACAAAGTTCAATTCATTGTATGTACTATTGTCATGAATTTCCAGCCATTTTGTTATTCAGTATTATGCAGAACATACTTTTATGTATTAAAATGTGACTTTTGACTCTGAAGATTATGGGAAATTCTGTAGTACATTTGAAAATTATCACTGGTCTTGAGGAAAGAACATTTGCTGTCCAAAAAGCTAGGTTGTTGGAAAATAACTCAAATTTGCAACACAAAGATAAAAAAGTATTATCTTTTGATTATTTTGCTTCTTACCTTCAAGCTTCTGAAATTTCCTATTTTATTAATTTTAGGGGGAAAATAGTTTTTACACTTAAATTTTCTCATTGTACCTAAGTAAAGCCTTGACTCTTCATACTGCTAGAAGATTTTGAATATTCTTTGTGCAAATAGTACTATGCTTGTTACTTTTGTGAAAGAAACGCAGGGTTTTGTCCTTCAAGGAGTTTTAAACCATTGGGGATGACAAAGCCTGCAGATGAGAAGTTACAGAGAATAAATACAAGATAACAAAGTAGACAGTGCATATTATACATTCTTGAAAAAGAGATATAAAATAGAATTGGCAGTCACAGTGCAATGGAGTTACTCAAATGAGGCTTTCTGAGAAGGTGTCATATTTAATAATTTAAAATTTTCAAAAAAAAAACTTATTCAGGAACTCTTTTTAAGTTCTCTGGGGAATTCCTAAGAAACTTAGTTCTTGCCTTGAAGTGAAAGTTGCTCAGTCTTGTCCAGCTCTTTGCAACCCCATGGACTATACAGTCGATGGAATTCTCCAGGCCAGAATACTGGAGTGGGTAGCTTTTCCCTTCTCCAGGGGATCTTTCCAACCCAGGGATCAAACCCAGGTCTCTCCGCATAAAGCAGATTCTTTACCAGCTGAGCCACAAGGAAGTCCCTCTTGCCTTGAAGGACATTCAAATAAAATCCTAATTCCTTTTCCTTCTGACCTTATCTGTATCTTGGTTAGTGTAGTTATTGACACAAATACACTGAATATATTTATCATTTTCTTATTAATTATCCTACTAATCTCAGAGTAAACATTGAATTAAATTGAAGTTTAGCATAACTTACCTTTTTAAGAAAGATAAACCCCCCAAAGTATAATCATATTTTGTGATTTAAATTTCACTTTTTCTGAGTTAAACAATGACTGTCTTCCAAACCCACCTCCTAGGCTAGGATACATTTATCTGGCAGCCTAACAAATGAAGGCTAGAAGTTCACTGGGGATTAAAGTTAGTGTAGAGTTAGTGTTAGTCGCTCAGTTACATCCAACTCTTTGCGACCCCGTGGACTGTAGCCCACCAGGCTCCTCTGTCTGTGGAATTTTCCAGGCAAGAATACTGGAGTGGGTTACCATTTCCTTCTCCTGGGGATCTTCCCAACCCAGGGATTCAACCCTGGTCTCCTACGTTGCAGGCAGATTCTTTACCATCTGAACCACCGGGGAAGTGCTTGAGTCATAAAATAAAAGCAGGGCTTCAAATAAGTTACTTTGTAAATACTTAAAAGTCCTAGAGTAGTATCTCACTCATTTTATAATTTATCTATCCAAGCAGTAATCAGTAAAAAATGGTTGAACTAAATGAATTAGTCCTACAACTGCTCTGGTCAAAAACTGTATAATCTCAATCCAATTACAAGAAAACATCAAACTCAATTTGAGGGACATTTTACAAAATAACTCACCAGTATTCTTTGGAAATGTCAAGGTCATAATTAACCAGATGGAGTCAGGATCCTTTTATTAGTGTTTATGTAAACTTTAAATTTCTTATAATTTTGTCAGTTGTACCTCAGTAAAGCTGAAAAAAAAATTTTTAAGTGTCAAAGCCATGGAAGACAAGGAAAGATTAAAGAATTTATCACAAATTAGAGGAAACTAAGGAAACATAGTATCAAAATGCAACATGGTACCTTGGATTGGATCCAAAGACAGAAAAGGACTTAAGTAAAAAAGCTGGAAAATTCTGAATAAAGTTAGTATTTTAGCTGATAGTATTATACCAACCTTAATTACTTAGTTTTGATAATTGTACTATATAGTTATGCTAACATTAGGAGAAGCTGGATGAAGGATATATATGATAGTGATACTCTCTACTATTTTTGCAGCTTATCTGTAGGTTGAAAATTATTCCACAGTAAAAAGATGTTATTTTTTTTCCTTAAGGCCAGTAGAGAAATTAAAATAGTAAAATGGGTATATAAAAAAAAAACAAACAACAAAAGGAGAAATAAGAAATAGAGATAAAACAAAGGAAATGAATGGGAAATGGTAGACCTAAATTCATCCATATCAAAAACTATAGTAAAAACCACTACAATATTGTAAAGTAATTAGCCTCCAACTAATAAAAATAAATGGAAAAAATAAATAAATGAATAAATCTCAGGCGGAAAACTAAAAAAAAAAGGCAGATTGACAGATTTGTTAGGAATGCACAATCCAACTATATGTGTCTACAAGAGTCATGAAGTGAAAGAAAGTGAAAGTGAAAGTTGCTCAGTTGTGTCCTACTCTTTGGGACCCCATGCACTATAGAGTCCATGGAATTCTCCAGGCCAGAATACTGGAGTGGGTAGCCATTCCCTCCTCCAGGGGATCTTCCCAACCCAGGGATTGAACCCAGGTGTCCTCTTTGCAGGCAGATTCTTTACCAGCTGAGCCACAAGGGAAGCCCAAGAATACTGGAGTGGGTAGCCTGTTTTTTTTCCAGCAGATCTTCCCAACTCAGGAATGGAAAATGGAACCAGGGTCTTCTGCATTGCAGGCAGATTCTTTAGCAGCTGAGCTATCAGGGACTCAATATAAAATCACAGATAGGCTAAAAGTTAAAAAAAAAAAATGGACTTTTTACTGTTCAAGCTAAGTTGGGATGCTATGAAAGCACAAGTGTTGGTGGATCCCCAAGGATTTATAGCATTTAACAATTTGGCATGTAGTCTATATACCTATCCTATTGCGGGATAAGGATATCCCAAACTGAATATATCATTTTAAAAGTCTAAGGCCAGGAGGGGGGGAAGGGAGGGGAGAATGGGGAAAGGGAAGGAAGAAGTAATAATCCTTTCTCACCAGCTTTTCTTTTCCTCTTTGGTGGCTAACAGGATTCCTATCTTCTAGCTTTTAATTATCAATCAATTTTTATAAATGTATGTATTTAGTTTTTGTGAGATCCAAGAAGACTGACAGGAGTTTTCTCATTCTAGTTGGCAGATTTGAGATGTGCAAACCTCCTTTCCCTCAAGTTGAGATTATCCAGGTTGCCAGCTTTTGCAAAGGGAAATGTTATAAAGTTATTCTATTCTAGGGAGTAGTGTATCTTCAGCAACCTCCTTTTTGATACTCTGCTTTCAGAATTATATAATGAAGGACATTTCTGTAACACATGAATTATAGTAAGGAAATTTATTGAAAACACTGTATCTTAGTAATTAATATCTTTTTCGTTGCTGTGTAAGACTTTAATACATAAATGAAAAGTTTTATTAAATGTTAGCATTTAATTAGAATTTTCAGTTGTATTTTGAGTTTGTGCATACTTTTGCTAACACAATGTAAGAATTCTTAACTAAAACTTTATTTTAGTGATCCTTATTGGAATGAAAGTAAACCCTTTTTGTCTCTACTTGCTGTGGTACTTAATTCTTTGCTTTGGGTTGAAAAAAATTAAACTCTCCATGCTTCAGGATGTTGGAACAAAGCAAATGCTTTTCAAGTGAAAATAAGAATTAAGTTTGAGAAGAAGGTTAATAAGCATGTCCTTAATTTTTTGAAAATGTTTTGAATTATGTTTTTCTGATTTTAGTACATTGGGATATTTCTCTTGTTGTTAATCCTTACATTAATGTTCCTTTAGGTAAAAGCTTTCATTTTTATATATTGACTAGCTTTTAGAAAGTGTTTACATAATTTTAGAGTGTGATCAGGTGGTCCATATGTTTCCCTCTAGTTATTTCTTAGTAAATGGGGCATCGTTAGTTTTGCTAGTAGACTTATAAGTCTAGGTTTTGTTTGAGCAGTGAAGTCTCAAGTGTATGTCAGATTTGATCTACTTGGATATGTTAGCTTTTTCCTAATGATTTCTTTTCCTGCAAGTGATATATCTACCCCTTAGTAACTGACCAGAAAGCACATGAAAGAAGAAATATGTTCAGTGAAGAAAATTGTTTTGGTTGTCATTTTCCAACCCTCTGTGACAGCAAGATATTTTTATAATACTGATGTTACAACTCAGCATATAATTCTTGTCTATACTTTTTTTATAATCACCTAATTACATATAAAGTTATGAAATGCCTTGTAAGCATTTCTCAATAACCTTTATCACATATATCTTTAAATTTACTTTATATGTAAGATTTTTTAAAATTTCTAGTACTATACAGTTGGAGTTAAGTATTTTTGTATTTGAGCAGTATTTAATCTTTGAATATCACATTAATGTAGAAGAGAGTGAGGATGGAAATCGAATGTGTGAAGTATATAAGTCGCTCAGTTGTGTCTGACTGTTTGCAACCCCATGGACTATAGAGTCCATGGAATTCTCCAGGCCAGAATATTGGAGTGAGTAGCTGTTCCCTTCTCCAGGGGATCTTCCCAACCCAGGGATCGAACCCGGGTCTCCTGCATTGCAGGCAGATTCTTAACCAGCTGAACCACCAGGGAAACCCAAGAATATTGGAGTGGGTAGCCTGTCCCTTCTCCAGCAGATCTTCCTGCGTTGCAGGTGGATTCTTTACCAGCTGAGCTACCAGGGAATCAAATGTATTAGAATGTAAATTTGAACTAAATCATAACGATTCTGTGATTCATTAACTGGACTATAGAGAAACTGATTGTAAGATTTAATTCTTAGTGGATTTTTTTTAATAATTGCTTATTTAAAAATGTGAAGAAATTTGTTGATATATAACTAGCAATATTTGACAGAGAAAATTGTTGACTTTAACGTTATCTACTGATTTGCCAAATATCAAGTCTGTGTCTGGCTTTACTCTGTTGTCTGTTTTATACTTACAAGATGTCACAGCATACATTTTTAATAACTTTTTCTTGTCATTCTGTCTAATAAATCTTTCATTATTTTATCACTAGAAATTAGTTCAGAGTAGAGCTTTCAATTTAATTTTTTTGAAAAGTTTCATGTTTTCATTTTTCATTTTTGAAAATATTTTAACAACTTTGTTGAATAGAGTTGTGAAAAGAATATTTCTACAGGAGGGCTCTATTATGCTTCAGTGAGGGAAAGCATCTAGTAGAATGTGTACTATGGTATCTTCTCAGGAAACCTGCATTACATGTTTAATATTCTTTATTGCATTTCCAATTTGCACATCAGATGTTGGCTATGTCATAATCACAAATTTGGTGAGAGTAAATAACTTTAGTATTGTAAAGATGGGGTGTTATTAATCTCTTATGCATACAAAAATGCCGTGTTTTGTTTTTTATCTATACAAAGATGTTAAAAATGGTGATCATGTAGGTGTCTTTAACTGATATATTTAGATATCATTTGCCTTTTTACTTTCAGTAAAAGTAGAAGCATATATTTGATAAACATTATTAAACTAATATTTTGCTGCACTGATTTTTAATTGGAATTTATATAAAGCATTTAGAATAATGTTTGTCAAATACAACTAATTTTTAAAGTTAATACAACAAAAAGGCAAAATGGTAAACCTCATTTAAAATTTACTTTGAAGCTCAGTGTTTTTGCTTTCTTAGTTGTCTACCACCTCCCTCCCTTCTCCCTCCCTTCTCTGTTCAAATGGAGAGGATATAAGGAGAGTACAGATGCAGCAGGTCTTAAACGAAAGCGTTCCCAAGGTACAGTAATTGTAGTTTTATTTCTCCTTGTAGATATATTCCTGGCTTGTAGCTTTCAGTTGTGTCTATAGCATTCAGTTGTACTTAGAGCATAGAAATTACTAGTTTTATAGAAATGTATCCAGTGTGTTATTTTGGTTAGTATTAATTAAAAGTGGTATAAACATTTGCGAGCCATGTGTATAGTTTAGCAATGGGATATTTGCCAATATTAACATGCTTTAAGACAATGTGAATGGTTTAGAGAGAAACAAAATTTTGTTGGCTTAACACTGTTAATATCTTGGTCTTATAGTTTTAATGTTTTAAGAATATGTTGCTCAGAACTGTTTTAACAAAAATGCAGTTTTGAAACATTGGATTAAAAGGCTTAAAGTACTGACTTAAGGATCAGACATAGATTTAGGAAGTAAATAACTTAAACTCTTTGCAAAATATTTTTTAGTTTATGGCAAGTTCTTTTAGTTAAAAGTTTTTACACTGGATTTGTGTTTTGTTTTGTTTGCAATAGAAGGTATTATTCAGGTTTGTTATGTTAATTGCATCTTGGTCTTGTGTTCAATGTTAGCAGTAATGTGTCCTGGTAGGTCAGGAAGATATAAATTGGTTTTTCATAAATTTTTGAAATGGCATTTTTAACCATAACTCCAAAGTACATTTTCTTGGCAAGGATTTGCTTTTCATTGTATTCTAGTAGGAAATACCTTTTCACAAAAAGTGTCTTATGGTCTTAGATCTTGACCAGGACTCTATCAGTGAACAGAAGAGTCAGACTCTGTCACTAGCTGGCAGAGTGGCATTAAGTGGCAAGTCACTTAATCCCTTTCTTTATACCTCTATGTGTTTATGTATAATGGGAGATAATATTTTGCTTAAAGAGTATTTTAAGGAAATAAATTAAGCATAATGATTTGAAGGTGACTGGTTTTATAAAGGTATGTGAATTTTTCTTACCTCTATATAAGAGATAAAGAGAAAAGTTTAAGTCCTTCAGACTGTAAGAATTATCAAAAGATTAATTGGTGGACGTGTTTTGATAACTACCTTAATCTGTTGCTTCCACAAACATTATTAAATTTGTGATACATGCCAAACAGGATGCTAGGACTGTGTTTGGTGTTAGTGATACAAAGTGATTAAGGTATAGTCCCTGCCTCTCAGAGTTTGTTATTCGCAGAGAATATAGGTTTGACTTTTTTTTTTCTTTAGAGCTCATTTTCACCAAGCATACCTCATTACAGAAATGAAATAACCATACTAATTTGAACATAATAGTAGGAAAAAACTAATTTCTTTTTAAAAGCTCTTTCAGCTTTGGAGTTCTGTTATGGTGAACAGTATCCAGTGATAATTGGCTTTCATATCCATTCCCAAAATACCTTATATTCTAATAAATTAGGTTATTCTCTTCCCAGTTTAAAGATATTTTTTTTTTAACCTGAGTCTTGTTTTATCTTATGCTGAGTAGTTTCCACAGAACAAAAAGTAAAGTCAACAGAAGAAATGGAACCTAAGTTTCTATGTCAAAGGTACTGAGGACTTTCATGAAGGTGTATATCCCATAGACCTAAGGAATGATCACATAACCTGAGAAAGCAGTTCTTTAATAATCAAATCATATTTCCTAAAGAGGTTAAAATTATGATCATTAAGCCAGCTTTATTCCATGTTGTTCTAACAAGTTGCCTTTTCCTATAGCATGTTTACTAATTTATAAAATTAAGTCCCTGTCCGTGACTTGTTTCACATCGATATGTGTTTCAGTAAAACAGTTTTTTGTTGAACTGAGTTAAGATATTCGTTCAAAAAAATCTGTGTATTATAATTTTCACTTAAATGAAGTTTGTCTTGGAGACCTTCAAATTTTTCCTTTTTGCAACAGCTATTCATAGTTTCAAATTGAGTCGAAACCACGTGGACTGGCACAGTGTGGATGAAGTATATCTGTATAGTGACGCAACAACATCTAAAATTGCAAGAACAGTTACTCAAAAACTGGGATTTTCTAAAGGTATTTGTTAAATATTATTAGAGTTTGTCAAATGTTGGGAATCGACTTTTTCTCATATTTAAAATAGACAATTCAGATTTTATTTTCAGTATATTTTAAATATGTATTAAGTTTAATGACAGTTTCTACCCTGTTAAACTAACCTTTATTAAAGTGACTGAGTTGACATGTATTCACTAATAAATAATTATATGTTAGGAATGATGTGGCAAGATTATTAAGGATGTTTTTTTACTTCTCAAAGCACAAAAGCAGTCAGACCTGAGGCAGTGATGTGAAATAAAACATAGCAATTGAAATTGTGTCAGTTGAAACAACAATTGACAAGCAATTGAAACAGCGTCAGGGAAAGTAAAGACGGGAAATTTTTCTACTGAAATGTAGATCATTGGTGACTTAGATGAATTTCTGGGACAGAGGCAGATGGGCATGAGTTGAAGTTTAAGTAGAACTTGAAGAAATGGAGGCATTGAGAATAGACAAATCTTTAAACAAAGCAAAATTGACTAAAAGGAAGAAAAGAGGGACTGATACCTGGAAAAGATGTGAGTGCATTATCAAAAAATAGTTTTTCAAAAATTTTTTCTGTCTGATAATTTTTTTGCTGTCTTTTAAAATTCTTTGATAATAGATGTGCTTACACATTTATTTGTTCATTAGTTGTATTTGTTTTGTGGATTATCACACCTTTAGCCCATTTTGCTATTTGGATGATTCATTTCACTTTTTGATTAAAAAGTTCTTTAATTAACCTACTGTGTGTCATGTTTTGCAAGATATTTTCCCGTTTGTTATTCATCTTTTATCTTTTCTTCATAATATTTTTTAGAGATGTTTTTAATTTTTATGTGCTCAGTTCCATCTTTTTTCCTTTTTGCCTTATTGTTTCTGGCTTCACTGTCATGGCTAGTTCAGTACTTTTTATTAGAGCTGATCATTCTATATCTTACAAATTTTATCCCCCCTATTTTTTTCAATATAGTGAAAATGCTATCTCTGTAATAAGTAATAAGCTTAGAACCATGATTTTCCCACAGCATCAAGTAGTGGGACCAGACTTCATAGAGGTTATGTAGAAGAAGCGACATTAGAAGACAAGCCATCTCAGACTACCCATATCGTATTTGTTGTGCATGGCATTGGGCAGAAGATGGACCAAGGAAGAATTATCAAAAATACAGCCATGTGAGTGTTTTGATGACTACAGTCTCCATCTAGTCAGAGTCCAAATTTTTGTCCAGGGTATAATGTAGTTTAATCGTTATGCCACATGTTTCTCTGGTGCCAGCTATTCTGTTTTAGTTGTAGATGAAGCTTTTGGACCAAATTTTGAGAATGATCATATCTAGGTGATGATGATATTTATTTGATTTTTTTCCCTTTTAACATGGAGAAGTGAAGGGATAAGAAAGCCTTTAATGTATTATTAGTTTAAATTAAAGTGAAGTTGAAAGCAAGAAACAAGTCTGGTTTTAAGTTTCTCTGTTAATCTCTGAATTGCAGAAACTGAGAATACTGTATAATTCTGAAAAAGCTAAGAATTGTGTAAATTGCCAGTTAGCAGCTTAACTTGTCCAATTAATTATAACCAGAGGAAACTGAACCCTAAATTTTACAGAGAACAAACAGTGGGTGTTTTGCCAACATGCTAGGCAGGTTATTTACCTCAGTTATTTATATTCGGCTTTATTCTAAAAGCTTGTTAAGATGTTGGGAGAAGGAATGTTCATATATGAATTTCAAAAATGTTTAGGACGGTGTGAAAAGGAAATTTTAGAGTTATGGCTTCCACCCATAACTTGGCTCTCAACTTGGCTCTCTTCCACAAACTTGGCTGTCAACTTGCAGCCAATATAAAGAAAAATCTGATCAGATTTATAATGTGATGAGAACAAATCAATTGTTGAGAACACAGTTTATCAGTTTCTGAAATTTCAAGTAAATGTGTTTCTTGAGTCCTGATAAAGCAAATACTGTATGATAACAGGAACTATGTCCTCAGCAATATCTCTATAATAATACAATGTTGAGTTCTATTTTACTTTTTATTGTAACACCTTTTAATGCCAGCTGATGGATTAAAATAAAAGTACGTTCAATCTGAAAAAAAAAAACAAAAAATCTTTGTCAGACACTGCCAGGTCATTCTGATCCTTGTCATTCTCTGTAGCTTGTATTACAGAGATCTCTTCCCTCTGATTCTGATTTTCTTTTCTGATGATTTGTACTTCCCACAATGTTTACATTCTTGTGGCAAGATGCTAATCTTCTCCTTGGTTACCTAAGGACTCTGAGAAGTAGGTTTAATAACATGTTCTCTCTGGAGCTATTCATATTTGGAAAGGTAGCAGCTTGATTTCTTTGGGTGCAAGTGAGGGAAAACTTAAATCAGAAGGAGGATTCAGTAGTCCATAAAACTGAGAAGTCTAATATTTGCCAAACAAGTCATCAGAATCCAGTTTCTATCCACTCTACACACCTTCATTTTTTAGCTATTTTCAGACATCTCCTGTGGTTCTAGATGTGGTTTATATCATCTTGTATTTGAGTTCAGGAAGAAAAAAATTAGTCTTTTTTTTCCAGAAGTCCCTGCTAGTCTATGCATTTTAATGACTGGTAGTATCACCTGCAACTGTCTGAATCTGTACACGGCCATGATCTGATCTGCCGGACTTGTCAGCTTTCCATGACACCACCTTCATGGCAGAAAGGGAAGAAGAACTACAGAGCTTGTTGATGAAAGTGAAAGAGGAAAATGAAAAAGTTAGCTTAAAGCTCAACATTCAGAAAACTAAGATCATGGCATCTGGTCCCATCACTTCATGGCAAATAGATGGAGAAATAGTGGCTGACTTTATTTTTCTGGGCTTCAAAATCACTGCAGATGGTGATTGCAGCTATGAAATTAAAAGACACTTACTCCTTGGAAGGAAAGTTATGACCAACCTAAACAGCATATTGAAAAGCAGAGACATTACTTTGTCAACAAAGGTCCGTCTAGTCAAGGCTATGGTTTTTCCAGTGGTCATGTATGGATGTGAGAGTTGGACTATAATGAGTAACGAAAAATTGGTGCTTTTGAACTGTGGTGTTGGAGAAGACTCTTGAGAGTCCCTTGGACTGCAAGGAGATCCAACCAGTCCATCCTAAAGGAAATGAGTCCTGAATATTCATTGGAATGACTGATGTTGAAGCTGAAACTCCAATACTTTGGCCACCTGATGCGAAGAAGTGACTCATTTGAAAAGACCCTGATGCTGGGAGGGGTTGGGGGCAGGAGGAGAAGGGGACGACAGAGGATGAGATGGTTGGATGGCATCATCGACTCAATGGACATGGGTTTGGGTGGACTCTGGGAGTTAGTGATGGACAGGGAGGCCTGGCATGCTGCAGTTCATGGGGCCACAAAGAGTCGGACATGACTGAGTGGACTGAACTGACTGACTGAACTGACACATTAGAATTAGATAGCCATAGGAAGAGGTAGAGCCATATTCAAAAGAATAAAATATTTAGGAATAAGTTTAACAAAGAAGTGTAAGATTTGTACACTGAAAACTATAATACACCAATGGAAGAAATTAAAGAAGACTTAAATAAATGGAAAAGACAACCCACATTTGTGGATTAGAAGATTAATGTTATTAAGATGGCAATACTTCCTAAATAGATCTAAAGATTCACCACAATCCCTATTAAAATTTCACCTGTCATTTTTTGCAGAAGTTGGCAGGCTGATTCTAAAATTTACATGGAAATGCAAGTGACCCAGGATAGCCAAAACAGTCTGGAAAAAGAATAAAGATGAAAGACTTTGCAATGATTTTCTACAAAGCTACTGTAGTCAAGACACTGTGGTGCTCATTGGTGTGAAGATAGACCTAGATCAATGGAATAGAATTAAGAGTTTGATTGATTTTCAACAAGAGTGCCAAAATAACACAATGAGTAAAGACTAGCCTTTTAACAAGTGGTGCTAGGACAGCTGGATATCTGCCTGCAAAAGAATGAGGTTAAAACCCTGCCTATACCACATACAAAAATTAATTCAAAGGGAAGCAAATACCTAAATATAGAGGTTAAAACTCTATAGGAGTAAATCTTTGTGATCTTGGATTGGGCAGTGGGGTCTGAGATACAACGTTAAAGGTAAAGGCCACTGAAGGGACTTCCCTGGTGGTCCAGTGGTTAAAATCTACCTTGCAATGCAGGGAACACGGGTTCAGTCCCTGGTTGGTGATCTAAGATGCCACATGCTGCAAGGCAACTTGTGTCTCGAGTAGAGAATCTTGCCCTTCAACAAAAGACCCAACATGTCACAACAAAGATCCCACATGCTGCAACTAAGACCCAATGCAGCCAAATAAATATTAATAAGTAAGTAAAAAAAATAAAAAGCCACTAAGGAACAAAAAGATAAATTGGGCTTTTTCAAAATTTAAAACTCTAGTTTTTCAAATAGCACTATCAGGGAAGTTAACGACAACCCACAAAATGGTAGAAACATTTGCAAATCATATCTGATAAGGGTCTAGTATTTAGCATATATAAAGAATATCTACAATTCAATCATTAAAAAAATAAATACCCCAATTTTTTAAGTGGGTGAATAATTTGAATGAACATTTGTCCAAATATACAGATGACCCATAAACACATGAAAAGATGCTCAGTATTATTAGTCATTAAGGAATTGCAATTCAAAACCACAGGGAGATATCACTTTCTGTTGACTACAGTGACTCATCAAGAATACAGAAAATAGCAAATATTAGCAAGGATGTAAAAAAAAATAAGAACCCTCATGTGTTGTTGATGGAATTGTAAAATAGTACAGCAGGGTTGTAAAATAGTACAGCTGCTTTGGAAGACAGTTTGGCACTTTCCTCAAAAAAGTTAAATGTGGAGTTAACATGTGACCTAGCAATTCTACTTCTAGGTGTATACCCGACAGAACTGAAAACATGTATCTGCAGAAAAACTTCTTAATATTCAGTCCAGTTCAGTCATTCAGTCGTGTCCGACTCTTTGTGACCCCGTGAATCGCAGCACGCCAGGCCTCCCTGTCCATCACAAACTCCCGGCGTTTACTCAAACTCATGTCCATAGAGTCGGTGATGCCATCTAGCCATCTCATCCTCTGTCATCCCCTTCTCCTCCTGCCCCCAATCCCTCCCAGCATCAGGGTCTTTTCCAGTGAGGCAAGTCTTCGCATGAGGTGGCCAAAGTACTGGAGTTTCAGCTTCAGCATCAGTCGTTCCAATGAACACCCAGGACTGATCTCCTTTAGGATGGACTGGTTGGCTCTCCTTGCAGTCCAAGGGACTCTCAAGAGTCTTCTCCAACACCACAGTTCAAAAGCATCCATTTTTCTTCACAGTCCAGCTCTCACATCTTAACATTCACTGCAGCATTATTCATAATAGCTCCCCCCCCAAAAAAAAACTAAATGCCCATCATCTGGTGAATGGATAAACAGAAGTGATATATTTATACAATAGAATATCATTCAGTCTTAAAAAGCAAAGAAAACTGGTTCATGATACAACATGGATGAACCTTGAAACACTATGCTAAGTGAAAGAAGCCAGACACAAAAGACCATATATTATAGATGTTATTTATCTGAAAAATCCAAAATAGGCAAGTTAATGGAGACAAAGTAGATTTATGGTGTCAGGGCCTAGAGGGAAGAATTATGGGATCTGACTACTCTGGGTAGAGTGTTTCTTATGGGAATAATGAAAGTGTTCTGAACTTAGATAGTGGTATTGGTTGTACAACTCAATAATACTAGAAGCCACTGAATTGTTAAAAAAAATAAATAAGAAAAAGCTACCGATGTCATGTCTAAAAGACACAGAAGTAAATTTGTAGAGACTCACCGACCAGAAAGGAAACATTTATACCATGTAAATGCATATGTGAGCATCAGTAAGGATAATAACTACAATGGGTTAGAACAGTTCAAATATGTTTTAAATCTATGAGTTATTAATAATGTCAAAAAATACAAAGCTTCTTAACAACTCAGTATTTAATTGTTAATAAAAGAGAAGAATTAACCATTTATCCTGCCTTTTCTCAGTTTGTACACTAACTATTTGATTGTATCACAAGGCAGCAAGTATTTGATGTGGGGGAATTTCTCTTTCCTGAAGTGTAAGGAGTGGTGAGATTTAAAAAGCACTTTTTTGCAACCATAGTAAATTAGTGGAGCTAAGCAGTGATCACAGCATTTTCTAGTATCACCAGAAAAAGAGAAAACCAGGTATATATATATGTATGGAGTAGTAGTCTAGCCAAAACAGTATAACTTGAATCTGATCGGGCCCCTGTATCACACCACCAAATAGGGAACAAGAAGCACATTAAGGAACTCTGTGGGGATACTGTCATTAAAAATTAGACTGAGAAACTACAGGACATAAAAAGAATTACAAAGCCAAAAAAGAGAGAGAGGGATCTATAGATTAAAAGACACTTAAGAAACATCAAACAGTTGCAATGCATGGGCTGTATTTGGAGCTCAGTTCAAAAGTTTAAAAAAAATATTTTGCTGTACCTTAATTTTCAAAGTAGAATTTAAAAACCTATATTGTGTGGAGAACAAGTATAGAAATAGATGAAATAGAAGACAGGCCACAATGTGCTAATTATTTAGAGGTAGGGTATTTTATTAGGAAGACATAGCAGTCCACTCCAGTATTCTTGCCAGGAGAATACCATCGACAGAGGAGCCTGGCCAGCTACAGTCCATAGGGTCACAGAATCAGACATGACTGAAGCGACTTAACACACACACACAGGGCATTTTATTATGTATTGTCTCCACTAAAGACTTATAATTATTTAGAATATAGTTTCAAATCTTGAAATATTTGCAATCAGAGATGACAGATTTAAGAAAACAGTTCTGAAATGAAGGTGTTACAGACTATTGCATAATGTAGCAGTAATTTAAACATAATTGGACAGAGTTATAAGCAAGTTGGAAGTGTTATGATTGAAGGTATTTTATACCATGTAAATGCGTACATGAAGTTACTCTGATAGAGTTTTGTTTTGATTTTTTTAAGGATGAGAGAGGCTGCAAGAAAAATAGAAGAAAGGCATTTTTCCAACCATGCAACACATGTTGAATTTCTGCCTGTTGAGTGGCGGTCAAAACTTACTCTGGATGGAGGTACATTTTGTTTAAAAATTAAATTATTTAGTCAATGGGAATGAAGTGTTTTTAATTTATTTGTCTTGAGGTATACTCACTCTTTGTTCTAGATTATTTAGGAAAATAAAATCCATTTTTTTTAAAAAATAAATAATTATATTGACTTAACATCATTTTGGACCACCATATAGATTTCTCTAATAGTACAGTTTTCATGAATGCCCTAATGTTTTTGACAGAAAAATGACTTGTCAATGCTTTTAAAGCATTTGTTGTCTCCAATTTCTTCTTTGTTGTTGTTGTTCTCTACAATTTCATATGAGCTTACAGTTTCTTCCTGATAATTTTCCTCCTTTGTATTTGGAAGATAAAATCTTAGGTTTTTTGTTTTATTGTCGTTCCTGCATTCCTTGGACTGATGAATTTTACTCTAACACAGACAAATTACATAAAATGTGCATCTTTCTTTACAATAAGTTTTGTCCTTTGAGTATTAAAATCATTAAAATAAAATGTTTAGGTAGATACTTTTGAACTGTGATGCTGGAGAAGACTCTTGAGAGTCCCTTGGACAGCAAGGAGATCAAACCAATCCTAAAGGAAATCAGTAGTGAATATTCACTGAAAGGACTGATGCTGAACTGAAGCTCCAATACTTTGCCCACGTGATGTGAGGAGCCGACTCATTGGAAAAGGCCCTGATGCTGGGAAAGATTGAGGGCCCAAGGAGAAGGGGATGACTGAGGATGAGATGGTTGGATGGCATGACATGAGTTTGTGCAAACTCTGGGAGATAGTGAAGGACAAGGAAGCCTGGCATGCTGCAGTCCAAGGGGTTGAAAATAGTCGGACATGACTGAGCAACTGAACAACGACAAAACTGAATAAGAGAAGATATTTGCAAATGATATGACCAATAAAGGGTTAATATCCCACAGTTTATATAACTTGACATCAAGAAAAACAAACAACCCAGTTAAAAAATGAGCAGAAGACCTGAAGAATATATACAAATGGCCAAAAGGCATTTGCAAAGATGTTAACATTGTTAATCATTAGAGAAATCCATACCTGTCAGAGTGACTATCGTCAATAAGAACACAACAATGGCGGCTTCTCAAAGTACTAAAAATAGAGCTACCATATGATCCAGCAATTCCACTCCTGAGTATATATTGGAAAAAAAAAAATGAAAATACTAATTCAAAAAGTTATGTGCACCCCAGTGTTGATAGCAGCATTATTTATAATGGCAAAGGTATAGAAATAACCTCACTGTCCATCAACAGATAAATGGATAAAGATGTATATATACATCATAAAAAACAATGAAATTTTGCCATTTGCAGTGACATGAATGGACTTGTAGGATATTATGCTAAATAAGACAAAGACAAATACTGTATGATATATATGGAATCTTTAAAAAAAGCCAACTTGTGAATATAACAAAAAGAAACAGAACAAATAGGTGGTTACCAGGAAGAGAGAGACAAGAAAGGTGGAGGGGATTGAGAAGTACAAACTACTGCATATAAAATAAATAAGCTGCAAGGGTATATTGTATAAAATGAGGACGTTAGCCAATATTTTACAATAACTCTAAATGGAGTATAACCATTTAAAAATTTTGAGTTACTGTGTTCATCTGAAGCTTATTGTACATCAACTGAGCATCAATAAAATTTTTTTAATTTAAAAAGAAAGATCCTTAGCTTGTTCGTGATTTAAAGGAAATGTTTTCAATCTTTCAGCACCAATAAGTGCATTGATGTTTGTGGTAGTTAAATACCCTTCATCATTTTTCAGTTAACAAATAGTAAAATTTCAAGAAGGTAAGTTTCATCATATTCAAAGGTAGTCTTGAATATTTAAATTTTAATATAAAACACTTAGGGAATGTATTTTTTTCACTGTTTTTTCCCTAAAATTATCTTCTCTTAGTTCATTTTTTTTTTAACTTGTAGACACTGTTGATTCCATTACTCCAGACAAAGTGCGAGGTTTAAGGGATATGTTAAACAGCAGTGCAATGGACATAATGTATTATACTAGCCCACTGTATAGAGATGAAGTAAGTATCATGATTATCTTGTTGCTATTGGGTATTTTTTAGAGTGATAGCATGTGTGTCCTGAATTTTAACATTTTATGTTCTCTTTTGTTTTACAAGCAAATGAGAATTATAGCCTCTATTTCATAGTGCTTTTGATAGTCTTAAACTGTCCATTGGGACCCTTAATGTTGTAACATGGTAACAGTATTTTAACATGATAATCTTGGAAGTGAGAGTTTGGTTAGAAAATAGCTCTGTGAAAATATGTCAGTTTTCATAAATCTGATTAATATCTTTGAGTATTGTCCTCACAAAAGTTTTGGACATGTAAGAGTTTTGTATATAATAGGCCTACTTCTATTGTGTCATTTCTGTGGTGGATTTGTATAGTTCTCAAATGGTAATGGTGCTCATACATCACAGAAGTAACCCTAAACGGGGTGAGGGAGTGAAAGTTTAATCAGAGGGATGAGAGAATTTCTGTGAATGCAATTTGTCACTTCACTGGTAAGAAAAAAAGAATTCTGTTTCATGGAAATAGCAGCATTAAGTACCCAACATGTATTAACTTGTTTAATTCTTACCTATGAAGTCAGTATGACTAGTATCTTCATCTGAAGGATGAAGAAACTAGTATAAGGAGTAATTACCAGTAGGGCAACTGTGCTGCTCCAAGCCAGTCCTGCGCGGATTTTGTTCATTCACATTCATTCCCTAACTTCATCCAAGATATCTTTTATATATCTATAGAAACATGTTTGCTTAGTTGCCGTAGGAGCTTCCTTCTCTTCCAACTACCATTCCCTTAGGATTTTTCTTTATTTCTCTTTCTATATTCCCCATTGCCATATACCAGTATTGGGCAAGGTTTGCCTTGATCTATTTGAAAACAGTAAAAGCAGCTACAGGCTTCTCCGGTGGTGCAGTGATAAAGAATCACTGGACCTGTAGGATCCAGGGGATCCTATTCCCCTGGAATAGGAAATGGCAACCCTCTCCAGTATTCTTGCCTGGAAAATTCCATGGTCAGAGGAGCCTGGCAGGCTACAGTCCATGGGATTGCAAAGAATTGAACATTACTGAGCACACACACACAAGAGCTGCAAGCAGAACAGCTCTTCTGGACTTTGTTGTTCAGTCACTCAGTCATGTCTGACTCTTGGCAACCTCATGGACTGCAACACTCCAGGCTGCTCTGTCCTTCACTGTCTCCCTGACCTTGCTCAAACTCAAGTCCTTTGAGTCGACAGTGCCATCCAACCGTCTCATCCTCTGGACTTAATTCTGATTAAAAAGAAGGCCTAGTCGGTGAAGTAGAATTCTAATACCTTCCATGTTTATAGGCCTTTATAGTGTACAGTGAGTATTGAACTATAGTATTGCAAGTAAACCCGTGAGGGAAGGAAAAGAGAAAGAGAAGGGCTGAAAGCATATTACTGGACACACATACACACACACAGAGTTGGTAGTATCCCTAAGAAGGTATCCTGAGTCTTCAAGACTAACATGCTCTGAGTCATGTCCTCCAAAAGTAGTATGTGCTTTTTTAAAAGTTGACATTAATATCCAGAAAAACTAGAAAGGGAAAACTGTCACATTCAAACCTCTGGCCATTGGCGAATGATGACTGAGAAAGTAATCACTTTTTATTTTGCTCTTGTATCTTCAAAGATACTCTCCTCAGAATGGAATTGAGTAAAACAGATATTCGGTAGGAGAAGGGAACTGATAGCTAATGTAAGTGAAATGGAAGGAGAACACCCAGAGCTTTAAATTTGTTGGTTTTTTGATCCAGTTGAATTTAATGGAAGAGAACTGAGAACTTGTTTCTGAGATTCATCCGCAATCTTCAGCAGTGTTTCCGAAACATGCCTAGTTAGGACAATCACTTGTGGTGCCTGTTAAAAATACCCCCATGGGGGGCATTGGAGTTGAGGATATTAATGTGAATTTATGACTTTGAAAATAAGTGGATGTATGTGGATAACATCTATATACTTAAGCATACATGTTTAAACATATATGTTTATGCATGTATTATGCATGTTATGCATATATGTGTGTGTGCATGTATTTCCTACCTCTGTCCACTGAAAGGACTAAGAAGCAGACACCCCAACTTAATGAACACACCTAGCACCCAGATCTTTGCCTAGTACGGTTACTCCCCGCTAAGAAAAAGTAGAGTTTCTTGGGAAAATGGCTTCCAGGACTAGGGCAGGAGAGGTTCAAGTCAAAGCTGAAAGAACTTGTTTTGACAGAAGGTGGAAAACTGCTCAAAAGAATGATGAGGCAAGATGCATGGACACAAAATGACTTAAAGAAGCAGATCCCACTGACCAAATCTGGAAGAATTTGAGCACCAAAATAATTAAGTAAATATTATTATTTATTGTAAGCGTCCCAGATGGTTCAGTGGTAAAGAATCCACCGGCAATGCAGGAGACTTAGGTTCAATCCCTGGATCGGGAATATTCCCTGAAGAAGGAAATGGCAACCCCTCCAGTCTTCTTGCTTGGAGAACCCCATGGACAGTGGAGCCTGGTGGGCTGTACAGTCCATGGGGTCACAAAGAGTCATACACGACTTAGCAACTAAACAACTATTACTTACTGTAAGGAATTACTAGTATATTTTATAGAATTATAATAAGGTTAATGTAGTTAAGAATTTTAAATCATTGAAAAATTTGTAAGTCCTTATCGCTTATAAATAGATAAGCAAATTGGGAAGAAGAGAGAGGTCCTTTGCTTACAGTAGAATGCCCAGGGCTTACTGGTGAGTGTGGAAGGACAGCTGGAGGAAAGGGCTCATTTTGCAGCCGTCGTCATGGTAGGATCAGGCAGGAGAGGACTGGGCAAGAGTCATTCGTGAATACTAGAATGAGGGGAGTTGTTTGATGCGGAACAGAGTGTTTGCATAGTCTTAAAGTGTATCCTCTCAGACTGCTTTTAGTTTAAAAATAATGAAGGACTACCCTGGCAGTTTTGTGGTTAAGACTCCCATGTTACACTGCAAGGGACATGGTTAATCCCTGGTTAGGGAACTTAAGATCTCACATGCTGCACAACCAAGGGGAAAAAAAAGATCTTTAAACAACACTAACTAAATCATGTCACTCCCTGGGTTAAAATCTTTGTTGACTCTCATTAGAATAAAACCATAATTAAAGAAAAAAATGGAATGGCTTTTTAAAAAATAAAGGTATACAGTGGAAAAATCAAGCAACACCTTTATGGGTTGTTTCTAAGGCACATCCAGAGGAGGACACAGCATAATTTACGCAGCATTCCAATTAGGAGGAAACGTCAGACGAGTGTAAAATGAGGACGTTGTCATTTAAAAGTATGAATTAAGACTGTATTATTTTAAAATGTTGATATAATAAGAAAAAGAATGGCTGTGGAAAACGTTTCCGATATAGAAGATTAGAGAGACATAGTTAATTTTAACTTCTCATACTAAATTATATACTATACTAGATCAGAGGAAACACTACAAAGGGTATTATTAGATCAGCTGACAAAATCTGTATGGGACTAGATTAGATGAAATACATGAATGTGAATTATGAAGTTAATAACAGCACTGTGGTTGTGGAAGTCTTAGGAAATATACACTGGAGTATTTAGGGGTAAAAGACCCTGAAATACGTAACATGTCCTTAATGGGTCACAAAAAAGTTCTGTGTGTGTTAATAGAAACAGAACAAATGATAGGGCAAATAGAAAAATGTTCACATTAGGTGAATCTTGGATAAAGCCTGTGAAAGATCTTTGTACAGTTTTTTATTTTGCAACGTTTTATAAATTTGAAATTACTCCCAAATGAAAAGTTATGAAAAAGAAACTAAAAAACTACTCTCGCAGGTTCCTTCTCTGGAGATCCTGACTCAGTGGGTCTGAGATAGAGCCTGGGAATTTGTGTTGTTGACAGTTAGCAGGTGATACCATCAGAAAAGTTTGGCAAACATTGCTTAAGTCATTGTGAAGAATGAAAGAAAATAAAAAAGACTTAGAAGTAGGCAAAAATTGTTCTTATTCTTTAAAAAGGAAAGCTAATTCTGCAAATCGAAGTTCATTTAGCACAAGGTTGATGTTAGGCAGGGCTTCCCTGATAGCTCAGTTGGTAAAGAATCCACCTGCAATGCAGGAGACCTGGATTCAATCCCTGGTTTGGGAAAATCCCCTGGAGAAGGGAAAGGCTACACAGTCCAATATTCTGGCTTGGAGAATTCCATGAACTGTTTGGTCCATGGGGTCGCAAAAAGTCAGACAATACTGAGTGACTTTCACTCCTTGGTGCCAGGCAATATCTAGACTAAATTATCTTTCAGTAGTATATGTTTCCTAAAGGAAGTAATGACAAATAACAGCCAGCAGCGATTCTGTAGGATTAAGGCCTGTCTGGTGAATGAACCTTGTTAGGTTTATTTGATAGGCATAAATAAGAGCCTTTTTCCTCTTCTTCTCAGCCTTGGTAGTCAAATAGATGCAGTTTTAAAATCTCCCACTTAACTAGCTTAAATAAAGTTTCTCAGTTTCTCAGCTTCCTCACTTAAAACGGACATAAACTACACAGCTGATAAAGGGAACTAGCTTAAATAAAGTTTCTCAGTTTCTCAGCTTCCTCACTTAAAATGGACATAAACGACACAGCTGATAAAGGTTGTCGTGGGGCTTCCCCGGTGGCTCAGCAGGGGGCACGAGTTAGATCCCGGGTCGGGAAGATCCCCCGGAGGAGGGAACGGCAACCCGCTCCAGTATTCTTGCCTGGAGCATCCCGTGGACAGAGGAGCCTGCTGGGCTGCAGTCCGTGGGGTCACAAAGAATTGGACACAACTGAAGCAACTTAGTACACAAAGATTGTCATGAGGATCAAAGATATCATGGTATAGTTTCCAGTACAATTCTTTGTGCTTAGATTTTCAAGTTGTAATTAAGTGTATATCTGTCTTTATGTATTTCAAGGACTACCATTTAAAAAAAGGTAGTCTGTTAATTCTAGAAAGTAAAATAAGGATCTGTGAATTGAAAATATAGAAAGGAACATGTTTGATTACTCAATGAAGAACTGTGTAATAACTAAAGCTGCCTTAAAAACACAGAAGTGTTACAAGGAAAAAAAATTGTAAATAATGTAAGCTGATGGATTTTAACTAAACTTACTGTGTAATCATTTCACAGTATAATATTGATATCAAATCATTACATTGTACACCTGAAACTTACACAATGTATATCTCAATTATATCTTGATAAGACTGAGGGGAAATTTTTTTTTAAAAGGAGTAACCACTTCTGGATAAAGGTACTACTCACTGAGGTGGATGCTGAGCTCTTTCTCCCTTTACACGGGTGTTACTGAAGGGACTTTAGCTTCACAGGAGTTTGAATTAAATCATCTCTGAGGCCACTTTTCACTCAGATTTCTTCAGTGCTCATGGGAGGACCCTAATTAGTGATTGTGCACTGAAAAGTTGTGCTTTGGGGAAAATTTTTGTATACTGAACAGTACTTCTCAGGTCATACTTTCTGAGGACCAGTTTTTGGTTTTGTTTTTTTTAAAGGAACTAACTCCAGTCTATCAAGACATGATTAGAGAGCCTTTGGCTCTTTTCTTCAACCCTAAATAAAGTAACATGGAAACTCCAGAGGGAACTGTGACCTCTTTTGTGCAACAGAACTCTCTTTTCAATGGCTTTTTAAAAATGAAGAACTAAAAAGAGAATTGTCATGGTCCTATCGTGCCATTGCTATTTGAAAATTATTTAATTGATGTATATGACTAAAACTCAATAAATTACTTTTTCTCATTAAAATTTCCTGAAGGAGAGAGAAGGACAAATGACTACTTATGTTCTTCAGCCATATTTTAGGTGTTTAGAATTTCTCTTGAAACTGCTGGATTTTTTTCCATTTTGGTTGACTTTCTTGATAAATTTTAATTTTTGAGCAATGGTTATGAAAATTAGAAACTTTTAAACTTTTGAAGAGCCATCTAATGCTTTCTCTGTGTGAGAGGTTAGCTAAATTGATTAGATAATATTATAGAGTTAATAAAATTAAGATAATAGGGTATATCATTAATCTTGGATCAGATATCCCAAATGAATATAGTTGGTCACAAGGGAATCCTAGCTGGAGGAATATAAATGGATCAGAAAGGAAAAGGGGAAAAACAAACCCTAATTAGAGTAGACTTTTTGGATATAACATCAAGGTGAATTTCTTCTTTTGCTGCGGAGTGGATGATTTATAAAGACCTTTAGTTAAAGGTTTTAAGTTCTATTATATATGGATATGTTCTAATAAGGGAACACAAAGATTAATTCTAGTCACATAGAAGATTATTAAAACAGATGAAAACATCAGCTCTTCAGAAACTATACATTCTCTGCTTCAGTCCATGGTAAAATACTTCATTGTTGAATAAGACTTTCTCTTTGTTGGATGTTTACTTTTTATGATTGCTAGATTAAGGAAATTATTGATATAATGAGTGATGCTTTAAATTTTTAAAATATGAAATAGCTTAATCACTGGTAGAGGCACTGGTAGATCTTTTCCATTTTTTACTATCTAATTTTAATGGGGGTGGTATTTAAAAAAAAAAAAAAAAGGGTTATCTTTTGCCAAAGTACCTAGGTATTCATCTGTTAGTGTTTCTGGACTTCATGGTAGGAGTTTTAAAATCAAGCCCTTCAGAAGTAAACACTATCAACAAATGTTGCTTTTAAAGAAATGTATTTTATTGAAAAATTAGCTTTTTCAATACCTCCTTTCATGTAGATTATAAATTAGGAAAATTACAAAGTTTTAAGGGTTAGTTCATATTCTTATCAAAGCCAAGTCCAAAGCATTACATTATAGCTCCCTTTGAACAAAGCATGTAATTTCACATCATACTGCCTACTTTTTAAATTCTATTGACTAGAATTACCTACAACCCATGTCTTCGGATATTTTTATATGCATTTACCACTAAAGTGTGGTCCCCAGAATTGCTGAATCTGAAACTCTAGGATGGAGCGTAGCAGTCTATATTTAACAAGCCCTCCAGACCATATACATGGTTTCAGTAGCTTTAACAAGGACCTCAGTATTGTATAGTAGAGGTCTGTAACCTCTGTGAGGTTAGCAGCCTGAACATTGCACCTTCATTCAACTCACTGCCAACCCAGCCAAGCATGACTGCTCAAATAATTTCCAGTTTGATTCTGCTAAAGAATGTTCAGTGAACCAAACGGAGATGACTTGTCTCTAGAAACAAAATAACAAGATATGGAAGCAATTAATAATGTTTGTATGTCTGAATAACAGCTGATGTATTAAAAAGAACTGAAATGAGAAATTGAGTATCAGGAAGTTTATAACCAAATAGTAGTAAGCAGTGATAGGAAGAGGAGAGGACTACCTGAAAAATCAGGTCAGGGCCCTATATGAATGAATTTGAGTTACAAAAGAACCTTGTTCTTCTCACTTCATAGAATACTTCAGTAATATTTATTAAAGCTAAATTTCAAAGAAAGCAGTTTTATAAAGAAAAATGGCTAAGATATTTTCCACATTATTAACTTCTAAACCTTAAAAAATTCCTACTTTTTAAAAGTATTTAAAAATACTTCATGTTACCAACGTAATGGGAATTTTGGAATATGAAGGACATCAACATAACCATTTTCCTTAGTCATACAGTGACCTTTCATTACATTACTCTTATCTAAATGCAGCGAGTAATAATGCACATAATATATCGCATATACAATATGTTAGTAACCCTATTATCATAAATTCAGATATTCTTTTCCTAAGCTTACTGTGGCTTAAAAAGTACAGGGCACAAGACTTTAGAATAGTATGTGAGTCCATTACAATGAAGAAAAAATATCCGGAGGCTTTTTGGAAATCTTACTAGAATCCGCATGTAACTTTTTTTTTTAACACATGAAACTGTTGGCTGCAGTAGTTGGTTTAAGGACTGTGAAAGGATCTGTGTGGGTAGCATCTGTCTTTATTCTTTAGTGTTGCTATGGATTATAATATTATGTATACCTTTACATTGGGAAGATCCCCTGGAGAAGGGAAAGGCTACCCACTCCAGTATTCTGGCCTGGAGAATTCCATGGACTGTATAGTCCATGGGGTCGCAGAGAGTTGGACATGACTGAGCGACTTTCACTTTTACTTTACATCATTTCCTGTAGGGTTCTGAAGCAGCTGAGTTAATTTTAATAATCTAGATATATCTGTCTAGTGATATATTTTTCTTTCTTAGCATATTTGAGTTTAGAAATAACATTTATAGAAGTGATTATTCTAATTTAATGTTTTCTTATTTGAAACAGCTAGTTAAAGGCCTTCAGCAAGAGCTCAATCGATTATATTCCCTTTTCTGTTCCCGGAATCCAAACTTTGAGGAAAAAGGGGGTAAAGTCTCAATAGTGTCACATTCCTTGGGATGTGTGATCACTTATGACATAATGACTGGCTGGAATCCAGTTCGACTCTATGAACAGTTGCTGCAGAAGGAAGAAGAGTTGCCTGATGAACGATGGATGAGCTACGAAGAACGTCATCTTCTTGATGAACTCTATTTAACAAAACGACGGTAAAATAGCCTAATCTCTTAAAAGAAATTAAAATGTCTTCATGGAATCACTGGACTTCTTAGTAGAAAACTTCAGATTTTTCATAATAAAGAAAAAATACACTGTTTAGGGTACAGAATAGAATATTCAAAGATTGTTAAATAATATGCCTAATCAAGCAAAAGACTATTAATTTTGATACTAATTACGTGTGTTTTCCTATAGCATACAATTACCATCTTCCTCTTTTTGCTTTTCTTTTTCTTCACAGTTTATTAGAAATGAAATCTAAAACTTATTCCATGCTGAGTCACTGTATAGAAGCTGATGAGCCTCCATCTTTATTATTATTCTGAAAATAATTTTAAAGCCCTTTTTTCTTATCAGATATATTTTAGACAGATTTTATAATTATTTAATCATTCACAACCTTTCTGATCTATCTTTTTTAGTTGGATTCATTATCTATTTTTTTCTTCTGCTACAACTGGTAGATAGGTTAATTGAACAAAATATAAAACGAAAATCAAGTAGAAAGAAGAGTATAAAAATCACACATAATCTCACGTGAGAACTGTTAATGTGTTAGAATATTTTCTTTAAAAAATAGTAAATATATATACTATTTTATCAGAGGCACTTCAGAGATTATAAGTATCCATTAAGTTAATAAGCCCCTGATTCTGTTAATCCTGGAATATGCCTGATACTGTGTTTTAATTCTCTGCTACATTTCTATCTTCATCTCTAATTACATGCTCTTGTTCTCTTGATGGTCATTCAACCGACTCTAATAAATCTGTGAAATGTCACTCATTTTGATAGCATTATATAAAACAGCCAATTTAGTTAACTTAAACTTTTATTCAGGAAGCATTGAATTTATTTTAGTCGTACAGAAATTGTCTAAGGATTTCATTAGAATTTTATTAATAAGTACCATAGGGAAAATGCATAAATTTTATAGTATCAAAATAGCTAATAGTTTTGAGAGAAAATGTCATGTTGCAAACTTTATCACTGTGTTTTTTGTGTTTTGCTTTTGTAACACTGTATTTTAGACAAATTCAAGTTAAAATGTTTTTAACAGGTTTAGAAAATGAACTGAACCTTTTTAAATTTGTTCCATTGTTTATTAAATGTAAGTACATACAGAACATTGTATTAGGAAAAAAGTGGAAATAACTCAAGTGTTCATCAACAGAGAAAGGCTAAACTGGGTTTATCTACATGATGGGCAATTAAACAGTTGTTATAAAGAGTGAAGTAGGTTAGGAGGCAATGAAGTGAAAAGATTGCTAAGATTCATTATTAACTGTAGAAAAAGGAAAGACAGAGAAAAGGGTATGTGGTGTGAACATTTGGTATGGTTTTTTTAAAGTGTATATATGCTTGTATGTGCCTCACATTTTACTAAAGATTCCCCCCACCAAAACCTATTAACAGCATGTATTGGAAGAATAGGGTACTTTACTAATTATTTCATAAACTTTTATAAACTTTCTGTACTACAGCAAGTTCATTTATTAAATACTGTCAAGAATTAATTTGAGGGATTGGATGATTTCTTTATGCTTAGTGAACTAGTGAGCATCTAATACTTAAACGAAATTATGAATATGAATGTGTACATAATCTCATACTCCTCCCTAGGCTGCGAGAAATTGAAGAACGGCTACGTGGTTTGAAAGCATCATCTATGACACAAACACCTGCCTTAAAATTTAAGGTAAGGAAAGACAGATGAGATTTTCATTGTTTATCTCAATTTTTTTTTCAAGCATCATCTAAAGCATGACATTAGGGATCAAATGAAATCCTAATTCTTTGAAGTGAGTCTTTTTTTGAACCCTTACAGTGTGTTGGACCCTGCTGGTTTCTAGATTCTACTAAGGAAAGAATGGACAAGACTCAAAATACATAACACAGCGTTACTGGGGCTATTATATAGAATAATATGTAGGCACAAGAAGGAGGTTTAATTTTGCCTAAAGGTTTATAAATGAATGACATTTGTATTTAATCTCTGTAAATTGGGTATTGCCAAGTAGAGGAAAGAAGAAATGCTCTGTTCTTAAACAGCATAAACAAAGGCATGGAGGGATATAACTCATAGTACATCCAAAAACAGAGACAGATCTGGGAAATAGCTAATATTTAAAATTAAATGTTTGTTACCAACTAGTTTTATATGGTAAGAAAAATAGCTGGAAGTATATCAGTGATGATTCCACAGATGGAAAGCTGGCGTGTCAGCTTAAGTGTATGACAGAAGCACAAGATGTGCATGTAATGCAGTTAGTTTGGAGCAAGGTGAGCAAACCAATTCAGCTAGAATATATAAAATGCAGGGCATAGGGGCTGTGGGAAAGTAGGAAGAGAACTTAGATTTGATGGGACAGTGGAAAGCTTTTCAGGGTTTTTGAGCATCAGAATAGATCTGTCTTAGCAGTGGTTTAAAGAATAAAAAGTAGCAAAGAGACATTGACATTGGCCTATTGGAAAGGACACAGCTTATAGCTGAATAACAGCTGCTTATTTGCAGTGTTAAATGGAGCATGACATAAGTCTCCTAATACTCATTTCCAGTTGAATATATGCCCATGTCTAGTGTACTGTGTTATCTCTTCCTGATACCTGTTTCTTTTATCATAGGAACTTAACATATGGGTTACATGATGGAATGATGCAGACATGCTTATTGAATCTATTTCTCTGACTTCTAAAGTTTTTTTTTTTTAACTTAAACATTTAAAAGCCGTATGATAAAGTTATAAGATACATTCAAAACCCATAAGAGCATGGTCTTTGGAGTCACCCCCACCTGGAATTTGAGTTCCATATCTACCACAATTATTATATATAATCAATGTTAAATATGTAGAATTGCTCTGATAGGAAAAATAAACTCTTCTGTTTCATGTCCTGGGTTTTGTTGGTTGTGATCCACTAAGTATGTTAGAATCTCAAAATTCAAGTATCACCTTACTAGAATTTATGCCCTTGTCAGCCACAAATTGGCACTTGCCATCTACCTCCATAAGGATTAAGTCATGTGCTGCTGCAGCTGCTAACCTTCAGCAGCCCCCTGAAAGGAGCTCAGGGTGAAGAGCAAAATGAGGCATTCTGTCCTCGGGGCAGGGGGGCGGCTGGTTGGAGAGACTAACAGGACAGGTCTTCAGATAGCCAGGTAATTTCCAGAGCCAATTTTATGAGCACAATTCTTGTATCTCCTCATGTCTTTAAAAGCACTAAAATCATTCATAGTGATGACTATTCCTCGTGACTAGCAGAAACCTTCTGGAAAAATATGTGCTTGACTGCATGTATTCCTTCTTCACCAAAATCACATATATACTGACCTTCCCCCCTGCATCTTTGCAGCAGTTTCTCAAAGCTGCCTGAGGTGCTGTCTCCCAGGATGCAGTCCTCATATTGCCCCAAATAAAACTTAACTCACAACTTTACTGTTGCATGTTTTTTCAAGTCGGCACCCTATAGTTGGTATATCTTTCTAATACATGGTCATGTGGTCTAATAATGTGAATTTTTAATTATATAATTACTTACAGAGAAAAATATATAGATAACTGAAATTTAAAATTCCTAGGTGGAAAAGTGGTAAAAAACCCACCTGCCAATGCAGGAGATGTAAGAGATGCTGGTTTGATCTCTGGGTCAGGAAAATCCCCTGGAGAATGAAATGGTCATCCACTCCATTATTCATGCCTGGAGAATCCCATGGATAGGACAGCCTGGCAGGCTACAGTCCATGGGGTTGCAAAGAGTCAGACACAAATGACTTAGCATACACACACAAAAAGGAATATACAATGCATTGGCAAATTTATTTAGAACTCCAGAGTTCTAAAAGAAACAGAAGTCTTATATGCCTGTTACCTGGCAGATGGCTTTACTTTCAGAATAAAGTATTAGATTTGTCACATGTGACCACTGAACTTTAAAAAGAGCAAAAAAATATTAACAAACATTGGTCTGAAGAGTAGAAAACTTCGATTGTGATCATGAAGCTTTGCCACTAACTAGTTATGTAATATTAGCCAAATTACTTAACATCTCTGAATTCCTCTGAATTCCAGAGTACTTAGACTAAATATCTAAAGCATTTCTTCACCCATAAAATTCTTTGACAGCTGTAGATAACACTAAAGCAATCATTACTCTTACTGGAGAGATAAGTAATTCCTTTGTGTTTGTCAACCAAGCTGCAAATCAATCATAAACGAAGAAAAGTCGTTTAATCCATGGGTTTAACGATTTAACAAACATTTATGAAGTGCCTGACCAATGTATAAACCATTTTTCTGGTGTGTACGTGTGTGTACACACATACATGTGTATATCAAGCAGAAAGGATTTACAGAGCTTTCTCTTCTATCTTAACTATTTTTGTATCTTTATCTTTTATTCTTTTCTCACTTTATAGAAGAAGAAATGAGAGGAATCTTTTCAGAATTGATGCTCTCATCCCTGTCACTATTATTCCAGATGCTTTTTCTTATATTTTTAATTTTTCTTAATACAGTTCTTCAGCCTTCAAACATCTTTAAGTTACTCCATTATTTAAAAACAAAAACTTTCTTAAAGTTTATTTATCTTAAAGCTACCATTTCAAACTATGTATTCATTCATATATATTTTTTCACTTGGGAAAAAAATCTCCAGGGGCATGGGAAGAGATTAAAGGTGTGTAAGATTGGAGGCAGGGACACTGTTACAGTATAGTCCAGAGGAGAAGAGATGAAGTGAAATGTTAGAATCTGTTGGAGTGACTTCTTAAATGTTGGAGATAAGAGGGAGGAATTAATTTGTGATATCTTGAATCAAGATATGGAACATATGCAAGAGGTAAAGTGGGTTTAGGAGGGAAAGCTATCATGTTCTGTATGTAATCCAGTACTAATGATGACCCTGTTTTTCTTGAAGCGCTGTCCTCCCTTGACTTCCATGCTGCTGCATTATCCTGGTTCTCTTTCTCCTTTAACCCTCTCTTCTGTAGTTTTATCTCCACCTACTCATGAGGTGCGGATGTTCCTTATAGTTCTATCTAAAGCCACTTTATTCTATGTGATTCCTAAGCAGTTTTATCCATTCTCTCAGTGTTCATCACTTCTATGATGGTGACACATAGACTTGGATGATGACATATTCAATTCTGTATCTCCTATCCGAAATTCTCGGTTACCTGTTAGGTATGTTACAGATACCTCAAACTAATTATGAACAAAAACATGGTTTACTTAGAGTTTCCTGTTACAGTTCGTAGGTTAATTAATATCTTCCCGGTCAATCAGACCCAAATCTTACAAATCGCCTCTGACTCCTTCTTTATCCCTGTCTCCATTCGAATATTCATGTTGATTCTATCTTAATCTCTCAAATTTCCATTTTGAATGGAACAACTTGTCCTCCTAGGTACAGATTATCTTTTGCCTAACCTCTTTCAGTAGTTTCCTAACTTGTCTCCAAAGTCTACTCGCCTCTTAATTTTTCAGTTCATTCACAAGCTACTACCAGATTTACTAACCTCCTAAAACATGGGTCAAGTCCTGTTCTCTTCCACTATAAAATAACTTATGCTGTTTTCTTAGTCAGACAGTCGAGATTCTGTACATTGCTCATTCCAGTTATGTTTTCCCCACAGCCAGTCTTCAACCTTAACAGATTGTTGCCCTCCTCTAAATTAAGCCAGGTTCTTTCCTGCCTCTACTTTAGTTCATGTGGTTCTATCAGCATAGAATATCTTTCCAGCCCCCAGTGTATCCCAACCCCAACTTTGGAAATCCTCTTCATCTCTTACGGCCAGTGCACATCCTTTATCTACTCACCTATAGCACGCTTTCCCTCTATTGTGCACTCTTTTAGTCTCCTCCGCAGGATTGTAAACTCTTGGGTGCAGAAGCTCAGCCTTATTGGTCTATATATGTTTCAGAACACCTAATATTACTTTACACAAAATAGTAGCTTAGTAAGTTTTCCTTCTTATTCTCATTCTTCATTTTCTGTTAGATTTAAAGATTCTGAAGCTGCTCCTGGATAGTTTAAAATAATTAGTGGTGGTTATATATTTAACAAGTAATGCAAATACAATCTAGACAGAACTCATTTAAAATGATATATATTTGGAGATAATTTTACTATTTGTATTTTACCATATATTACATTGTGTCCAAATTCTTTGAAAAACAGTTCACCATTTTTAAATTTAGGGTGACTTTATCATTGTAGGTTGAAAATTTCTTCTGTATGGGATCCCCACTAGCAGTTTTTTTGGCATTGCGTGGCATCCGCCCAGGAAACACTGGAAGTCAAGACCATATTTTGCCCAGAGAGATTTGTAACCGATTACTAAACATTTTTCATCCAACAGATCCAGTGGTGAGTTGTAAATATGGATATCTGTGTCTCAATATTAAATTTTTCCTAAGAGAATCTGTAAGAAATCTTGCAAGGTACTGCTGAATTAATGAGAAAGTATTCATTTACAGACATGTCTCATTTTATTTTACTTCACAGATAATGCAGTTTGGTTTTTTATTTTTTACAAACAAATTTTGTGGCAACCCTGCATTGAGTAAGTCTACTGATGCCATTTTTCCAACAGCATTATTTTTTAATTAAGGTATATATTTTGCTATTTAGACATAATGCTGTAGCATAGACTTTTAAGTATAGTGGAAACTTAACTTTTATATGCATTGGGAAACCAAAAAAATTGTGTGATTCACTTAATTGCAGTGATCTGGAAGCAAACGTGTGCAGTATCTCCGAGGTATGCTTTATCTATTACACTTGATAAGTTCGTATTTTTTAAATATTTTTCTTTGGTTAGTTTAGGGATTAGGAAGTAAAATACCTTAAAGATGTTCTGTTTATGTTGTATTTGTAGAATGAAAGCATAATGTAAAAATACCATCCAATTAATGGATCCAGTTTATCCAAAGGACAGGAGTCGTCTGAACTTTCAAACCTTAACCAGTTGTGATTCCAATAATGTAGTAGCCATAAAATTTAAAAATCCCACTTTAAATACTTTGTTCTCTAAAGCATGTTGCAACATTGAAATGTGTTTGGTAGATCCTCTTAAAAGTGAGAATATTTAAATACTGTGTATTAAACATGGAAAAGTGGAAGAATTTATTTTAGCCTGGTAGAATTACAACATTTTGGATTTTTGCATTCTCTGTTATGTTTGTAAATAAAATTTTCTACTGTAAATAAATTAAAATTTTTGTAAATAAAAATAAATTTTTCTAATGTAAGTAAGGATTTTGCATCCAGGTGAACAGTTTAATGTGAAATAAGATTTTTGGATGAGATAAATTCTTCATTAAATCATACTGGGGACAAGTATTAAATATAACTAAATTTAAGGCAAACTATTTTAAATAGCATTTATTTTCTGAAAAACAGCTTTATATGACTCTGTAAAGTCTTTTAAAAGATCTTTGGCTAGTACCAAATAAATAAAACATTGACTAAACACTAGAATTTTAGAAAATTTCCCGTATGTTAAAAAAATCAAAACTACCATATTTAACAAATAAATTTCACTGAAATGGAATCTAGTATTAAATTCAAATACATGACTATACAGTCTTGGCCAGGTCACTTCTAAGACTATCTATTTTTTGTCTATATGATGCAGATAATATTTTACCTCAGAGTTGTCAGGATTAAGTAAAACATGTGCAAAGCAGCTAGTTAGACCTTAAGTATATTGTTATATCCATTCATTTTACTGATTTTCCTGTAACTTAAAAGTGAGCTTAAGATGGTAGGTGAACTGTGAGCTATATTTTGTATAATCTTAAACTTTGTTATACAGTTGACCCTTGAACAGCTCTGGGGTTGGGTACCAACCTTGTGCTCAGTCAAGAATTGGGGTGTAATTTTATAGTCACCTCTCCATATCTACAGTTCCATATCCACAGATCCAACCAATTACAGACCATGTAGTGCTTTAATATCTATTTCTGGAAAAAAAACACACACATATAGGTGAACCCATGCAGTTCACTCCTGTGTTGTTTAAGGGTCAGCTGTATTATGGAGGATTACAAACTCATCATTACAAATTATTTTTTATTATTCATTTTACAGTTTTTCTGTGATTTTTTTAATAGTTAGAACTGTGCTAGGCAGTTTTTCTAAACTTATCTATTCTTCCCAACATCCTTCTGAGGTAGTAGAAATTAGGAAGTATTATTTCTTTTCTACAGCTTAGGAAACTGAGGCTCTGAAACTTTGTGACTTGGTGAGTGTCGTATAGTTAATAAGTGACAGAGGCCAGAATATGAATGCAGGGAATTGTATGCCAAGTCCATTGCCTTTTCTGCTATATCATCCCTATTTCACCTTAGACAAACGGTCTTATATCATCATCTCATGCACTATATTAATCTGCTTGAAAATAGGGTTACCTGAGAGCTTGGATGTTAAAAATTGACCTTATTTACTGTGTTCCAAGTTACTGTTTACTGCTTCAGTTTTGTTCATGAGACTAATATTAATCTAATTGCTAGATGTTATCAGAACATAATAAAAATGAATATTCCTCTGAAAAACAAGGTCTTCCCTGTAGTTCAAACTTCCCTGTAGCTACAAGGTCTTCCCTTGTAGCTCCTGCCCGCAGGCAGGAGACCAGGGTTTGATCCCTGGGTTGGGAAGATCCCCTGGAGAAGGGAATGGCAACCCACTCCCAGTATTCTTGCCTGGAGAATCCCATGGACAGAGGAGACTTGCAGGCTACAGCCCATGGGGTCGCAAAGAGTAGGACACAACTGAGCAACTGACATTACTGAAAAACTAATTAAAGGTCACTATTAGCCTAGATTAACTAATTTTTTTATAGTCTCATCATTAAGGATATATAATTAGACAAACTGCATATTATTAACAGTGAAGAAATAGGAATACATGTTAGGAATGTCAGGTTTTGAATCATTTCCTAAGGTCCTCTGAGCACACAGTCGAATAAGAATGAACAGTTTACTAAAACCTAAGCATTGTGCCTTAATGTTTTGTTTCTTTGAATTTTTTTACATCAAGGCTTATAGATTAGAACCGTTAATACTGAAACACTACAGCAACATCTCACCTGTGCAGATCCACTGGTATAATACATCCAATCCTCTACCTTACGAGTATATGAAGCCAAGCTTTCTTCACCCAGCAAAAGATCCTACCTCAGTTTCAGAGAATGAAGGCATCTCAACAATACCAAGCCCTGTGACTTCGCCAGTCTTGTCTCGCCGACACTATGGGGAATCTATAACAAATATAGGCAAAGCAAGCATATTAGGTAATTTCTCTTCAGTATTCTTCATCAATGAACTTAAGCACTTTTATATAGTCATTAAATTTTAGGTACCTGAAAATATATATTACAAAACATCTGAGAGTTAGTGTTTAAGTTAACTACTCTCACTTATATTTGAAGACAAAAGCTCTAAATTCTCTAGTTAGATCAGATCCTGTAGTTAGAGAATATAAGATACCTGGAAGCACACACACACAAAAAAGCTGGAGGCCTCAAGTCCCTCATTTTAAAAACCTTGGCCCCATCACTTGCTGTGAAATCTGGAGAAGTCATGTAGTTTTTAATGCTCATCTCCCTCATCTGTGAAATGAGGGGGTGCTTGAGTACTAAGGGTGCCCTGGCCAACCCATTCTCTGATCCGTGTCCTAAAAGTCAAATCGTGTCCTTCTTGAGAGCAACAGGGATACTGAATTTCCCTTTGCGTGGTCTCTAGTTCCAGCCACAATGTTTGGTGTGGGGCTCCCTGCTCAATTGTGCGCCTCTTAATTTGTCCTTTGCTTTTGGTTACAAGTTGCCTTAATATAAAATGCCACAAGATGGCACTGTAAACAGGCTCTATCTGCTGGATTCATTGATACTCATCATAGAGATTGTTTATTCACAGCTTTTTATAACAGATCCACTTTACTTCAGGAGTAGGCATATCAATAGTAAATATATGCCCATGTGAATGGCATGGTTCTTTTTATTAACATTTTTAATCTTACAGAATACTTTAAAAAACAAAAATCACTTGAATAAAATAGAATCTTTTTTTCTTTGTAGGCTGTATTCCTGAAGTTTGTACAACTCTCATTCTGTTCAACACCATTTTTATTTAGAAACCTACAATATAAATTGCAATTTTTTTTTTGTTCCCACCCTGGAAAAACATGACTAGGGCTTAGTCTTTCTGCCAACTGACTGTAATTACGGGTGGTGCTCTTTAGCCTAGTATGTGGTGTAATTCAGCAGAATGACTGGCCTGTTTTGTGAAATGCAGGGGCTGCAAGCATTGGAAAGGGACTTGGAGGAATGTTGTTCTCAAGATTTGGACGTTCATCTGCATCACAGCCATCTGAGACATCAAGGGACTCCATAGAAGACGAGAAGAAGCCAGTTGCCTCACCGCCCACGACTACCGTGGCAACGCAGACCCTTCCACACAGCAGTTCTGGCTTTCTTGACTCTGCATGTTAGTTCATACTCTTCTTTCCAGGTTTATACTGTGTCCTTTTTAAAACTGGAGGAAGACAAAGAACATTAAGATATTAACACTAGCAGTCCACTCTGTAATCTAAAGTATGCCCTAGCTTTTAAAGAAAAAAAATGCTTTTCCTCTACTTACATTTTCAGGAATAATTCCCAGGTAAATGCAGTTTTACTCTCTGCATGGGTGAAGTAAGTTAAGAACATTAATAAGTGCCTTGTCACACAGAGATCTTATACATCAAGCATAAAACAAATCTCTTTGTGGTAAGCACCCCTGATTTTTTTAAAGTAGTTTTTTTGTTTTTGTTTTTAAACATGGTCTTCTCAGCCTTAAAAATTCATTTAGTTGCTGCAGATCTATGCTGTATCTACTCTTGATACCATTTTTAAAATGCTCTGCCAAAGCCATCCTGGTGCTAATCCCATAGCTCCCTTCATCAACCTAATTATAAAACCTTCAGAACTTTAATTATATTGGATCCACTCCATGGCTTCCCTTCCTGTCCCTGCTGCCTTGTGTAAAACTCAAGAAATGAGTGAAAGAATGGATAATTATTCTGGACTTGGCAATAGAATGATGCTTTATTTAATTTTTTCCGGTGAATTTATAAGGTCTAAAATCTTAATAATTGTGAAACACTAAACCTCTTAGTGTATATTTACTTCTGAGGGTCTAAACTTAAAAGTTTATTTATAAATGTCCAGTGCAATAAAACTAGTAAGTCAGGTCCTAGTTTCCATTGACTTACTTAAGGAAATATAGATTCTGAAACTAGTTATTTCCTTTCTGTAACTATAGCAAGAAGAAAGTTTTATTTTTTTTCTCTAAAAATGTTTATTCAGATGCTTAGCTCTGTTTTCTTACTGTGTCTGCTGCTCTAAATTTTAAAATGACCAGCATTCATTGCCGTTCATAAAAAATTAAAAAGGAAGCTGAGATGTGACAGTCCTAGAGGCAGGGTCTTTCTCCATAGTCAGCCCCACTCCACGATGAATTATCCTAGCCTTTGCTGAGTTGGACATTCCTATTTGGACCAATTCCATTTTTTAAACTTAATCCTATGCCTGACTGAGTACTAGAAATTTTATAATTTCAAGCCTTTTGAACACTGCCTAGAAAATTCATTTTAGATTTTGATATTTGTACAAAATTCATATTTTTATGAGTTACTCTACATTTATTGCTTAATAACAGAAATGAGATTGTGAAAATGTAAAATTTTGTTGCAACATGCAGATGTCAAAAGAAAACTATAAACGTCTGAAGAAAAATAACTTCAAAAAATTTTGTAAGATGGCCGGTAAAAAGCCACAATTCCTTGTAATGTTTATGCACAGCAATGATGCTAGTAAACGTTAGGGTGAATAAACGAACAAGAAGAGCAGGGTAGAATTTGAGCCCCAGAGAAGGGGTAAGGAAGACACAGAATTCTATAGGATCTGAGGGAAAAAACTGTCTTTTAGTGTTTTTGCTATTTAACATAGAAATTTCAAAGTGATAATGATAATAAAGAAGAAACTTATTTCTTCTTCCAGGACATGTGAAGGTAGAAATGCTTAGTTTTATTGCATTATAATATTTTAACAAAATACTTTTTCTGTCATTCTTGCATATAAATTCTTTGTTGGTTCTAATGGCAAATTACTTACCAACTATAGACTCAGCTAACTGAGCTAACATGATTTCTTAGTTTCATGTTTTCATCTTTAGATATAGATTTTTAAAGTCCAACTTTTAACATTGGACAACTGCTGTAGTAGAATTATGCCTTTTAAATCAAATCCTCTAGATGTACCTTTGACTTGCTCCAGTAATATACTCTTCTCTGTAATCCTGATTTAGATAAATTTCTTAAATCATAATTGCTAGATTGGCTGTATCTTGCAAATCATAAAACCTTTCTTCCTTAAATCTTCTTTCTGAAATTTGATCACTGTGGTTAGGTGATTCTGGCTTCCTTCCTTCTTGCTCACATTGATTGCCTCAGTTCTTCTCGATAACCTTCATTCTAAGGCTACTGACTTTGATTCTCCTGCTTTTTGAGGGTAAGATGGACACAGACTGAATTCGTGATCAATCATTGTTTCTCTCTTTGAAGAGTTAGTGTTGTCAATTGAAACTACTTCATTGACATCAAGTTGAAGCAACTTATATAGCTGCTGTTCATTTCTTTTGAAAAGTATAGGCTTATTTCTGGTGGTTTTACTCTTTCTTTTCCTGTACTGCCTTGTGTTTGTATCATATCATGAAAAGAATTTGTTCCTTTTAGCACTGTTTTGCCTCTAGGTTAGCACTTAAGTGAACTATAAATTTGGGGGATGTTTGAGTGTTAACAGATTATGACATTGTATTTTGAAGTTAATTATGCTTACATTTTCCATGATAGAGCGCTTCACAGAAACCTAATTGTGTACTTCTTTTTGTTTGCTAGGTTTAATCAGCTTATTTGGGAGTATTGTTCTAACTTTTGGCCACTGCATCACTGAAGGCCATTTGTCACCATCAGCCAACACTTTACAGCATCTTGTGTTTTGTGTTTTTTTTTTCACAGATTTCAGACTTCAAGAATCGTTCTTTAACCTCCCACAACTTCTTTTTCCGGAAAATGTAATACAGAATAAAGATAATACCCTCGGTATGGTATATGTCAGGAATAGCATTCAGAACGCTGTGAAAACGGTCTACTTAGATTTCTTCTGCTCACTGAAAACTTGATCAGTTTTTCTATGAGAGCAGCTTTAATGTTGCCATTAACAGACTATTTTAAATGTATTCTCTTCCTGTATTTCCTAATCTTAAATAGTAGTGGTCCTAAAACCTGACTATTCATTAGTTACTTAGTGTGCTAAAATATATCATACTCCTATATGCTTCTCCAAAGAAGGAACTGTTTAGAGATAGAAGAAAAGCATTAGGCCATTTTCTTTCTTCTCTATTGCCCTCCAGCCTTCAGAGAGCTTCACTGTTCTTTTCATGTAATATATTTAAATATAAAAGGATTTCAAAGTATAAACAGTTTAATCATTCCTAGTTATTTCAGATATTAATAACACTACCCCTAGGGCTGTTAGTATGCCACAGATGATACCTGGTTTCAACACAAATATTTAATGGTCTTTAGAGGTATAGGCTTGCTTTGAAAAAAACTTATTATTGGCTACAAGAGATATTTTCAGTTTCCTGATTTTCAGCAGATTCAAAATGTATTAGTAAAGATTAATCTTAGCAGTTTAAAATTATTTTTATCATTAACTTCTCATTCCTTTTTTCTATATCTTTCTTTCCTTTTTTAAAAAATAATGGATTTGTCTTTAACAAAAAAAGTAAGTTACAGGTTTCTCCTTGGATTTTCAAACTGTATCTAATTTTGCAATTTCTATGTTTATAATTGCTAATTTTCATGCATTTTTTCTTCTTTCAAAAAAAAAAAATCTTTGCTAGATATAGATTCCAAAACAGTGTGTCAGCATAACAAGCTGATTTGGGCTTTTGACTCTGTGACAGCAGTTTGTGTTGATCTAATTCAGTGAACTCCTCTCAAGAAATGATTTTTATAAGTGCTGTCTCTAGTCCCTACTCATATAATAGTCACTTCCATAAAGAAATAATTGATGTGTGCTTTTTGAATATTTAGAGAAAGGAAAATTAATCCATTCATCTGTTTGTCCTACATTCAAGTAGTCCTTTTATCCACTGCCTTAAAGCCATCCCAACTACCTAAGCAGTTAGACCACTCGTCATAACTGCACCACATTGATTCAGATGGTGATATGTATATGGCTTCTATTTTCTCTTCTCCCATGAGGCAAGTAGATAGTTACTAGAAGAGACACCAAGATGAACCCATTTCAATGCTGCCCATAAAGAAGTTAAATGCTGATGTGGAAACTTAAGTATATTTTAGAGGGCATATATTCTTGTAGGGAAGGTGGATAGCTACAGAAATAATATAATATATGGTAGAATTTGATGAACCTCATGACAGATTCTAAGGAGAGAGAAAATGTTTTCACCTGGAGAAATAAAAAAAAAGGTTTTGTGGAAGTACAACTTAAATAAGCAGAGATGAAGAGACATTTCAGAGAGAAGAAACAGCACAGCACAAGCAAAAACACAGAGATGGGAAGCACAGGTTATGTAGAGATCTAGAAGTTAGTTCTGAGAAGAACCAAGGTGAGTAGAAGGGACGAGTTCTGAATATGCTGAGGAGCGTTTCTCCATCCAGATGGTAGAGGACCCAGCAGATCTGGCCATCCCCAGGAGTTCCTTTGTATTCTTAGGAGCCTGTGTTTCCCCAGATAAAGGCCATCTGTTGTCAAATGCTATAGGTGTCTGAATGTCTTTCAGAGTAGTTTAGTGATGGGAAGTTTGGGGGTCAGAAAATGGCAACTAATTATAAAGTTCATTATAGAGTTTTTGCTATTTTTTTTAAATAAAGGATGTTTGGAGAATGTTTTTAAATATATTTGGAGCTATGATAAGTCACAAAATGTAAATACTCCTTGGATATCAAACATCTAACTACATAAAATATATGGTTGCTCTGAGACAGAGGAAAATAAGATATAATTTATCAAGAACTCTGAACATATATTGCAAATGACTCTTTCATCAGTCATTTGGAAATCCAGTTTCCTTTACTAGTACTTTAAGTGGTTTTCTTAGTATGTACCTAGAGCCTAGAATCATGCAATTATGATCATAATTGCTATTTTTAAATAGGTAATTTTTTAAGATTCATTAAGTTTTTGAAAATTTCTCTCTAGCATGTTAAGACACTCCCTTTAAATAGAAGAAACCTGTCCAATTGGTACACATTATAATACTAAAATGGTTACTTTCTATTCATGTATTTTGCTTTTTAACACCATATCCAGGTTGACAAGCCCTGTGCACAAAAGAACACTCTACTGAAAGCAGAGTTCTGAGGAAACTCTGCCTTCACCCTGGGTAGATGGCAGACATTTGCTTGGGGAATAAGAAGGGAAATGTGCCCATATGCATGACTCCCCCAAAAAGAAAAAGTGAAAGTGAAGTTGCTCAGTCGTCTCCAACTCTTTGTGACCCCATAGACTGTAGCCTACCAGGTTCCTCTGTCCATGGGATCTTCCAGGCAAGAATACTGGAGTGGGTTGCCATTTCCTTCAACCCATGTTTTAAAACAGTGAAAGCAAATTATTGATGATTGTTAAAGCCAGCAAAAAAATTTTTTTTTCATTTTTACCTCTCCTCAACTTTCAGTTCAGTTCAGTTGCTCAATTGTATCTGATTCTTTGTGACCGCATGAACCGCAGCACACCAGGCCTCCCTGTCCATCACCAGCTCCCGGAGTCTACCCAAACCCATGTCCATTGAGTCGGTGATGCCATCCAACCATCTTATCCTCTGTCATCCCTTTTCTTCCTGCCCTCAATCTTCCCCAGCATCAGGGTCTTTTCAGATGAGTCAGCTCTTTGCATCAGGTGGCCAAAGTATTGGAGTTATCTTAAATTCTCTTTTTGTAGGTACAGGCATATTAACTCGTAGGCACTCCAGAGAAAAGGATTAAGTGATTCTATGTTCTCCTTTTTCTTGACCTAATTCAGTGAAAGAAACTAGGAAAAAACTACTAACCTGTCTAGTGCCACCCCTTCTTGATACAATAATAATGAGAAGGCAGGTCCAAGGCAACTCCATGTAGATTTGGGCCGACTTCGGCCAAGAGCACATCTCACAGCACACGTAGAATAGTGCTACCATGTAGTGACCTCACACCATTGGGAATTCTGTGATCTACATAAAAAAGATGAGACATTGGCCCACCTACATCCATCCATCCACCCACCTGTAAAACCAACACGAATATGGTGTCAGCTGCAAACCAGACTGCCTGGGGTAAACCTTTTGAGGAAGATGAGAGACTGTAAAACAGGTTCATCAAGTACAAGCTGGTTACCTAATTTCCACTTTGATGGGGACTACCTACAGATAAATAGAAAGGGAGGGAATAGGGTAGGCCAATCTAGTTAATGACGGTTATTAAAGATCCTCTAGTTGATAAGGACAGGGACACATAATGGGGCAATAAATTTGTCATTTGAGTTTGTAGTATATGAAAGGCAGTGTTGCACAGTGATAGCACATTAAGAATACATTTCGGGGGCATAAAATCAAAGTGGAGCCAAGTAACACTGGTTTTAACAGGAGAAATCTCCCTTTAACTTTAGAATGACAGTTGTTTGAGACTGTTGGACTAGGAAAGCATTCTACAGTGGCCTTTAAAAGGAATTCTTAGAAATAACATGGTATGGGCTTCACCAGTTTTAGTGTGTGTTTCCCATCTCTTCATTTTTCCTCTTATTTCTCCTTTTTTTCTTCATAACTGACTTCACCTTGACTCGTCTTCACCATGTTTGAGAATTCATTTCTTCTTTTCATCTTCTTGTCTGTTGTGCCAGAATGTACCTACGAATTTTAACACCGATGTCCCATGAAATACGAAAGATAAAAGATTAAGACATTCCTACCCCACAGTTCAGCATGTGGATTTCAACTATTTCTGACTTCTTATGGACTAGCTTATAATTTAAATGAGAAAAATAGCAGTTTGGTAAAAGGTCTATGTCAATATATTTCATAGTGCTTTATAACCTGATTGGGTATTTATACTGTTTAAGTGTAAATAAATATTATCTAAAAATTTTTAGATAAGACCCATGGACATTCTTTGTCAGAAAAGCACAATTGAGTAGAAAAATAACTATAAATCACCAAATGGTATTGTTTAAAATATACATTAGCTAAACGTTTATATGAAACCTTGCTCTAAAATGATGTGATTTGCTTTATGCGATTTCCAAACTTCGCAAGTAAAGCAAAACCCAACTTTTTCTCCAACCTCCTTAATTTTTGCCAGTTTTTACTTTTTATACCTGCTAGCACGCTGAACAAAAGAGCAGATTTTGAGTCTGAATGGTAGTGATATTTTTAAGACAGACCCTTCATACTGTGTGGCTTATTGACAGTTTTTGAAGAATTCCTGAAGATGAGATTATTGTTTTTCTAAGTGTTTTATCTCTTAAGGATTTGTTAGATGAACCAATTGCAGTCTTATAGCCTTGGATTTGGTTAGGTGATTTTTCTCATGTGTTAAAAAGGACTTTGTGTGTGTTTTAAAAAAAACTTAATTTACTGAACTGTTTGAGGACAGCCCTGTTTAAATGAAGTCCTTCCTCTCCAGGGTTACCACTGTTCCTCCCAATTTCACTTTCCCAGCCAGTGGATTCTTGAGCATGTGTGTGTCCCAGGTACATGTTTGGCCCTGCTGACAGGATCGAGACTAGAGTATGTTGTGGCCCTTTGAGGAATTCAGCATAACGGGGAGGAAAACACTGTAGGACTGTAGTAGATGTTGTCTTCCAACATGTTCCCCTGAGCCAGCTGATGTAAAGAGCCTCCCCTGTGAAGGAGCCTTTGAGTGCCCTGTTGCACTCCTGCTGACATTACTGCATGTAAGGCTGACCTATCATTCTGCAAGAAGACTATTTGCCGTATCTTTCAGGTTAGGCACAAATTATAAATAGGAAAGCCAGGATTTGAGGCCAGTTTCTTTATTCCAAATATACTGTATGGTAGCAAGTGAGATTTTTGTTTTCTTACTTTATTATTCCATACTGACCTGAACATACAAAGGAGAGGGTTCACCAGACAGAATCCTGAGCTACTGAGGCTCTTGAGTATTTTCTTCCCATAAGGTGAGAGTGGAAAGTCACTTTTTAAAAGATAGTAATAATAATTAGGAGAGTCACTTGTGTTTGGTAAATTTTTATTCTCCAATATAGTAAGTCTGTGTAGAAAGAATCTTACTGTGATACTTACTCATTTGTTTGACTTCTTTTTAGTGGAACTGGATCACAGAATTGACTTTGAACTCAGAGAAGGCCTTGTGGAGAGCCGCTATTGGTCAGCTGTCACGTCGCATACTGCCTATTGGTCATCCTTGGATGTTGCCCTCTTCCTGTTAACCTTCATGTACAAACACGAGCACGATAATAATGTGAAACCCAGTTTAGATCCAGTCTGAACCCTTGAAGGACATTAATGGCCCCAAACTGATTTTTTTCTTGTTAAATATGTGTGTCAAGATATGAAAGTTTCAGGTTTAAGTATGTTTCAGTTTTGTTTAGGGCAAGAAATATTTGAATTTGAAAGCACTTTATTTTATTTAAAAAAGCAGAACAAATGTTCAATTTGAAAGAAGTTATTTATAATTTTCATCATTTTAATTATGAGTCTGACAGAACCCCCTGCAGAGAATCAAGGAAGACCTGGAATTGAGGAAGATTTGGGTGACCTGCAAGATTATAAATCACAATCTAATTTCTCCCAAATATAAAGGCTTATTAATGGGTTGAGCCTAATGTATTAACCAAAGTATGTTATAAATCTAACATGATCAAGGTCCAGGATAGTCTATGTAAAGATCGCAAGGTGGTATCATTGTTTTAGATTTCTATGAAAACTTCCATTTCCACAATTTCTTTGAAACATGAGTTTAAAATGTTTTGAATTTAACTTGTTTAGAAAACCTAATGCTGAGAGAAATATTTGAACTACTGTATAGTTTATTACCTCTGACTAATTGCTTTATGTCAATGTATGAAACATTACATTTTTTAAAAAATTTCTTTGAACAATTTAAGAACCACATTTATTTTCTATAGTGTTAAGACCCTTTTTTCTCAGAACTCCATCTTTGTACTCTTCAGATGAATATATAGACACTGTGGCATAATTTCAGTATTTTTTCCATTAAAAACTTGTAGTTTCACACAAATAACACTAGTTCAATTATTTTGAAAAAGAAAGTGAACTTTTTATTATGTCACATGCACCTCAGAGAAAACTAAAGTTTTCTACTTGACACAGAATACTCCAGAATAGGTACATTTAGTAAACTTTATTGGAAAACTAGTCAACTTCTTTGGAGTAGGGAGTATAACTATTTTAATTAATATATAAGCATCCATGTGCCAAACAAATAACATATACAAAGGGGATAGAGTGCCCTAACAAATTTTTTAAGTGTTTGGAGGAATTGTAGTTGCAACATAGACACAATAGTTCAGGATTCTGAGGCATTGAAAGAGTTTCCTCAGCTGTCATTTTTTCCACAGTGCTTTTCATCTGAGGAGCTCAAAGTGCTTTGCGATTTAATAATCTATGTAGTAGCTCCTTGAGGTAAGTGAATGAGTGTTATTCTCATGTTACATGTTAACACACTAAGGCACCAAAAAAAGTGCCTTGAATTAGATGACAAAGCAAACCAGGAGAACTCAGACTGAAGACAGGCCATGTTCTTTTATGTGCTGTTTGTTGGCTAACACACATGACCTCTTACTTTGCAAATAATAATAACAGAAGTTGCAATTCATAACTTGGAGAAATGACTGAAACTGGTCCTTCACCCTACTGGTCATATACATTCTTGGGTTCTCACAGGCAAAAGAGGAGTTACTTACAAGGGATCAGTAACCATTTCTGCCACAGTCAACCCTCACTTCTGAGGGGCTTCCACTGGGGTTCTACTTAAGGTGCTGCCATTGCTTATCTTAGCTTCACAGAAATCATTGTCAAACTAGAAGCAAAGTTGGTCAGTTATACATCTCACCTTCTTTATGAGATATAGAATCTTTGGCTTACTCGTAGACTTTACTTGGTTGGCCTTTCATTGAATTTGAACAACATAAAGCACTTCTTAGTGCTTAAAAAGATCCTAGTCTCCATGCCCAAATATGTGACTCACTAAGAAACTCTTGCTATAAAAGGCTTTTGATGCTATCTTAGCAAAGCTGAAGCAATGTCTTTCAAATTTAGAGATTCCTGTGAACAAAGGTCATTCTCATACCCTGTTTATTTCATAACTCTGTTTAGTTTTCAGGAGAATTAAACTTCCATCTCATATGACTGTTTCATTAAAGGTACATGAGTTTTTGGGTCTTAAGACATTCAAATGCCTCAGAGCTTTAAGGGATTCATTTTGAACCACTAGAATGTTAAGAGCCCCTTTCACCTGAGGGGAGTGAAAACCTATCAAACCTTTTAATTGATATTCAGTAAAAGGAAAATTATACTCCCAAAGCTATAGGAGTACATCAGCTTCCACTTTTTCATGTTAGGGAAAAAATCCAATTTAGCCACATGGAAGTTATTTGAATTCTTGAGCAATATTCAAAACCACCTTTTCAAAATGAGATATTCTGGATTATTGGACAGGTGTTTTATTTTGAATTCATAATTTCATAAACATGGTGATTTTTATTTCACAGTACTCTTCTTGTTTCCATGTCTCTGCATGTTATCATGGAATGTACTTGTATATACTCAAGTAATATACAGAGTATGTGTAATTCTAGCTTGATTTAGAAGCTAAGTCAGTTACTGAGTAACATTTTGCAACTTTATTCCTGCAAGTACTAAATTGGCCAAAAAGTTCTGTTTTTGATACCATTAAAATTTTATTCTCTACTTTGTGTACCTGCTATGATGATTCTTCTGAGTACTGGTCAGACCATTCAAACAATTTTAATCCAGTTAGGCCCCCAAGAATTATTTATACTTAGAATAAGGAGAATGTTTTGTTAGTTCATAACTTTATTTTTGACAGTAATTATACTTGTGTTATAATCCAGTGTTACAGTATATTAGCACTTATTAAAAAATGTTCTTGGTTTCCTGGTAACTAATTTATATTGAAGTAAGCCTTAAGAACCTTTTATTTTACTTCTGTTGGATAGCATCTGTCAGCCTTCGGGAATTCTCACACTGAACAAGTTCTTTAGAAGGTCTCAGATGGTGACATGGAAACATTCATCTCATTTTCTCTGTTTCCTCATTGGAGCTGAAGTATTCTGGTCTTGTTCTGGCTTTGCCTACCCCTAAAGAGTAAACAGGGAAAAAAACCATCAGTGGAGTGTCACAACCCATTCCACAACTCCTTCCAGTGATGACACTTTAAGCCCCTTAAGGTAGAACTAGACCAAACCTTGAGAGTTCACACTAAGGCCTACAGTAGAGGAAAAATTATTGAGTTGCTTTCTGATTAATTAGGTGGTTAATATTTCTGTCTTCTCAGCCACAATGAGTAGGGCATTTAGACAACTGGGAAAACTTAATTTGAGTGCGTGTCTTAGAACTGTTTGAATAATATTTTGTTAGCTTGGAAATGAGGCTTAAAAAGATATGTGATATTAAAGAAGGATCACGGCAGAGCTAAAAAGATGATGTAGCAGTCCTTCGCTGGAGAAGGAACTAGAACTTGACCAGACAAGTCTGAGTGTTGGATAGTTGACTTCTGTGGTTATTCTCAGGTTTCTCTTATCTGGATTCTGCTTGTCATCCTTCTGCTTGAATACTTCTGCCTCAGGCCTCTGCCAGCAATCTGCTGGTCCTCTGACTGAATTTGAAACACATGCAGGGACTTCCGTGGCAGTCCAGTGGTTAAGGCTCCATGCTTCCAATGCAGGGGTGTGGGTTTGATTAAGATTGCCACCAAAAAAAAAGTGCGTTAAGTATTTTTATGGCTAGGTATGGGCAATACATACTGTTTCCTGGCATTTTATAATAACTTACCTACATAGAAAAGCTTTTGCTGTATCTATAGCAGATTTGGCAGGAAGCACCCCTACTGAACTCTTAACTCTGTTAATTCTAGGATGGGTCTAAGAACCTTGCAACCCACGCTGTCTCCATTTGCTTTAGTCAAGGGGAAAGGAAGTTGCCAAGGAAATACTTGTAGTATTGAGCTTGGAACAGTGTACAGAATGGCAGGATATAAAATTTCATCTCGAAGCTCTCATTTAGTAAATGTTAGTGCTGGCATGATAACAGCATGGATTATATGCATCCTGTTTCAGTCTTCGTTGGATATTTGCAGTAATTTTCAGAGGATCTTAAAATTTCAGATTTTAGAGGTCATCTCATCCAACCGTGTTTTAGTTTGATGTAAGCATTTAAATAGCATAAAGGTCTTGAAAACTGAAGGGACAGCATGTTAGGTTGAGCCCAAAGACATTGAAAGACTAAGTACTTGGCAGTAGAGGAGGGAGGTTATGGTCTCTCTACAGACAATTTTCTGTAGACCATAGTGGAATTGACCATCATTTTCCAAAACGTGTTCTGCAGACTTTAATAGATGTTGGTTCAGAAAATAAATTTGGGAAATGCCAGATTTAGAAGACTTTTACAGCAGGACTTCAGGAGCCCTCAGTGTATTAAATGCAATGTGAATCTGGTGCTGAAAGGTGGAGAAGGGAAGTTTTTCCAAACTTACTTAACCATTGTTAATGGCAACCCATTCCAGTATTCTTGCCTGGAGAATCCCATGGACAGAGGAGCCTGGCGGGCTACAGTCCATAGGGTTGCAGAGTCAGACATGACTGAAGCGACTTAATATTCAGCATAGCATTTATATGAACATATTTAGGAAAATGCTGTCACACTTAAATCCTAAAGAGATGTATCCTTTTGTTTGACAAAGGACACTCTAAGATCAGATGGCCAGCCAGTGATAAGAGTCAGTGCCTTTTTCCTTCCCATAGTACATTGGGAGCTCCTAAAGGGCAGAATCCTCCCTCCCTCCTAGGTGGAGGAGGGTAGGAGGGGTGCCTCTTCCTCATCCCCTCCCCCAGCTCCAGCTGTAACCTGATGCTGATGCTTTAGGAGCTGCAAGCTTTCCACGGAGCTTCCCCAGTTGGTCTCCTTTGTTCCCAGGTTCTTGTGAAAGAGTGTTTTACCTGGGCTGGATGTACATCCTTTCATGTGTCAGATTCAAAATACCCAGGAAAAAAAAAGCAAAAGAATGAAAAAATTAAGGAAAAAAACAAAATGCCCAGGAAACATAGTTTTTCATTCTGGTGATGAATGCAAATGGTAGGAAAACAAGTTGCACACTGTTAAATAATATTGCTTTTGTGTCCTTTTCAAACTGTGCATATATTGACCTTTTATCAATTCATGTCACGAGCCCTTCTAAAACTGTCCCATCATAGGTTAACTAATAGAAATTTTAAAATTCAAGTGTTA